TGGGAAGATTCAAGTGTTAACTAGGTTTCACTGAACAAGGATTTGAACTTGGAATGTATTATTTATGGATCTAAATGTTGGCTTCGAACGTTTGATGGACGTATCGTTTAGGATAAGAACGATCCGATTTAATGGAACTTAATAGAAGAATTGATAGAAGAATCAAGGAACAGTCAAAAGCCTGGAATAGAAATTAAATGTCTTTCTTCAAAGAATCAAGGAAGAGTCGAAAGCCTGGAATAAGAAAGAAAAAAAAATGATCAAATTAACTTAACACGTTCTCTGCCAACGCGTTTTGAGAAATTTGGTCATCCTGCGCCAAGAGGTTTTTTTGATCCAAAAGATGTATTAGAAATAAAAGAAACATATTTCAACATTTTATGTTTTCAAAAATAGAAAATATTACATTTTTGGAAATTTCGGTCAAAATGACCGACGCGGCGTGGAGGGCACAATTTGTTCAATTTGACCGTTGTACGCCACGTCGGTCACGATTTCGACTCGACCTTCATTACCCTACTCGCATGCTGAGAGGACTCCCAGACTGAAATTTCCTGTCGGCGCCAGTTCATATGATACTTTTATGTTTATAAGTAAATGTTTTTCATGAGATAACGTGTTTACCTACCCAATTTAAAAAAAAAAAACATGTAGGAAGAAATCTACAAAAAATTTCAAAAAGTTTTCATGTGCCATTTGCTCAATAGGCCGACATGGCAGAGAACGTGTTAAAACTCTTGTTTCTATTTTTCTTGTCTTTAGTTTCAATTTTCGACTATTCCAGGCTTTTGGATTTCTATTTCCATCCAAATTTCTTTTTATAGAAGAATCAATAGGAAATTCAAAAGCCTGGAGATTTCCTTCCATAAAAAAGAGGAAGTAATAGCTAAAAGGCTGGAATAGAAGAGAAAATTGATCAGATTTCCTTAAAATTCGTGTTTCTATTTCTCTTCTCTTCCCAACAAATTCAACGTACTTTTTAAAACTTACTTGGAACATTCCTCTGCAACTTAGCAGACGTTCCCTGAACATCCTGTAATGTTCCAAAACGTTCCTTGTGAGGAGTTTGTGTACAAATGTAACGTTTTCTGAATGTTTCCTGGGAATATTCCAAGGTAATTTTCAGAGAGTTTCAAAATGTCCCCTGACTATATACGTCTTCACGTCAATAGAAGACCTTCCTCGAACGTTCTGCAAAAACGTTCATAAGATGTTCTGGGATGTTCCGCAGGGACGTTCTTGGAATATTCCAAAAGGGTTGTTTTAAGGGTAACTATAAAGGCCTACATATGTACATTCCAAGCTAAAATCTTGGAACTTAGTTCACACTAGAACCTTCTTATTTACAATGCATTTTTGTCGATTAATTGAAACTTTGACCGCAATGCATTTTGAATGGGAAGATTCAAGTGTTAACTATAAGTATAAGTACCGTTTAGGACAGAAACGTTCCCGAACTAAGGGAACTTAAATAGGACGTTCCTGGGACAAAGTGTGTTTACTGGATTTAGTTTCAATTTTCATCTATTACAGGCTCTTGAATTTCTGATTTTTTCCAAATTTTTTTTGATAGGAGAATCAAGGAACAGTCCAAGAGCCTGGAATAAAATTTCTTCCTATACAAAAATCAAGGAAGAGTCAAAAGCCTGGAATAAAAGAAAAATGTTCAAAATTTCCTTAAAACTCTTATCTCGATTTCCCTTTTATTTAGTTTCAATTTTCGACTATTTCAGACTCGATTGCAGGCTTTTGAGTTTCTGTTTCCATCCAAATTTCTTTTTAAAAAAGAATCAAGTCAAAAACCTGGAATGAAATTTCTTTCCATAAAATGGGGTATCAAGTAACAGCCAAAGCCTGGAATAGAAGAGAAAATTGATCCAATTTCCTTAAAATTCGTGTCTCTATTTTTCTTCTCCTATGTCAGAGTAATTTTTGATAAGGTTAAAAAAGGACGTTTTTTAGATGATTTAAGATTTTTTTTAAATCTCAGCTAAAAAACGATAATAAACACACGTTTAATATTAAAAAACCTTTTTTTATGGGTTCGTAAAAGGATGTTTCCTTGAAAAACTACGTTTTTTAAACGTTTTACAAAGCATTTCTCCGTCGACATCGCAATAAATCTGAAAAGGTCACAGTGGCCTCTGCGCCATTCAAACACATCCAAACGCCAGTGGAAGTTCTAAAAAAGACGTTTTGCACTAGAGAAAAACGTCCATTGTCCATTCATTGGACGTTTATTGTAATCCGTAACGAAAAATAGAATCGCTATTTTGGTATTTTGACAATTCGATATACGAATTTCGACTCGACTCGTAGAATAGAATCAGGCTTCACATTTCAAAAACGACATGGCTGACTTATTTATGACGTAATCATACGTCATTGTTCTTAATCTAAACGACGTCAATTTGAAGTCCTAAAATCACATATTTTTACGCCATGAAATCACGTACTTCAACGTCATAAAATAACCTATTTTTACGTCGTACTTATAAGTCGTGAAATCACGTATTTATACGTCATAAAATCACGTATTTTTACGTCATAAAATCACTCATTTTTCGTCATAAAATGACGTCATCTGGGCTATAAAATGACGTCATCTGGGTTCTGACCTAACCACGTGATCCTATCGTAATGACGTCATTTGAACAGTGAAAATAACGTCTAATCTCCAAAAAAATACGTCAGCTTGCTGCCTGGGTTCTCAGTTACCCAGACAGCTCACAAAGTCTTAAAGACGTCTTTCGTAGATCTGAGAGTCCTTAAAACGTCTTTAGAAGTTCGTTTCTCATTCAATTAAGAAAGTTAATGGAATAAACCATTTAAAATGCTACAGAACATTTTAGAACTATTACTGAGGCTTTAGGAAAATTCAAAACACTTAAAATTCAATTCAGAATTTTCAAAAGTATTCTGTAGCGCTTAAGAATAATTTGGAAACTTCAGAACCATTTTAGAATGCTCCAAAATATTCAAAAACCGATTTACAAATTCCAGTTTTGGAACAATTCAGAAGTTTGGAACCCAGTTTAGGAAGCTTCAAAACACTCTAGTCGAAATCTCCAGAAACATTTTGAAAAGTGTCAGAGTCTTAGGATTCAGGTTAAAAGTTACAAAACACCCTTCAGGAGGGTTTTAAGAGCGAATTTAGGTTTCTGTAGACTTTCAATAAGCATCCAAAACAGAATTTTCAGGAGTATTTTGGAATAATTTAGAAACCTCAGAGTTATTTCAGAACAACTTTGGAGCTTGAATAAAGGGGTCTAGAATATTCAAAAATCTGTCCATGTAAAAATAGGCCCATTCTTTAGGTTTCCTTGCTTCGCTCACATATACAGCATAGCTAAATACCTCATCACTCTCCACTAGCCACGGATTGGCCAATCACGCTCTTATGTTAAAGACATTCTAGTTAGTTTTGATGTCGTTTCGTTGTTTACCATCAAGGTACGAGTGAATCAGGCCTTAGAGAATCTGAAAGATGTTTTTCTGGAGGAAATCAACAAACTTATTTCACCATTGTCTGACGAATACGTACCTACTTCCAATGGCAAAATGAATTCTTTGAGCAGACAGATGGAGTCGCAATGGCGAGTCCACTCAGCCCGGTTATCGCCAACTTCTACATGGAACACTTTGAACAAATGGCACTGCGAACAGCCACAAAGAAACCTACTTGTTGTTTTCGCTAAGTAGATGTCACTATTGTTGTTTGGAACTATGGACAGGCAGAGTTCGAAAACTTCCCTAATCATCTAAACTCAAAAGAACCTACGTTATAGTTTACAATGGAAGTTGAGGAGGACAACAAAATTGCATTCCGGACGTCCTCAGGGAAATTGTCTACCGCAGCAGTAGACGAAACGTTAGGTAGAAATATTACTCGACCACGGCATTATAGCCCGGAAAAAACTTTTTCACTCAATTTAGAAAGTACTGAAAAACTTCTAAAATGCTCCAGAGAACTCTTCAAGCCAAGTAGAACTCCTTAGAACTTCAATAAGCCATTTAGAACGTTCCAAAACACTTTGCAGCAGCATTTTGAAAGGCTTCAGAACAATTTAAAAATCTCAGAATTATTTCAGAGAGGCTAGCGCGTGGAATAGACAAAAATTGAAAGTTATAAAATGGTAATAATAAGGAACTGAACTACATAGGTATTAGGAAGAAAATGTTTCTCTTTCAATTCAAATTCTTGAATTTTTATAATTTTTCCTATTCCAGGCTCTTAATTTTGCCTTATTCCTCTATTCTAATTTCTTAACTTTTTTTGGTTCTTGAATTTCTTCATTCCAAGTTCTTGAATTCTCATTATTCCCGTATTTCAAAATTTCAAGCTCTTGATTTGTTTTGTAATTTTTACTCCTGGCTCTTCTAATGTTTTTATTCCAAAATGAATTTCGCGGATGTTTTCGTTTAAAAGAAATCAAGAATTTGAGAGCTTAGCATTTGGAATAGACAGAAATTGAAAGGTTATCAGTACTGAAGATGTCTTTAGGCAAACGTCTTAAAGACGTTGGGTTTTGTTTCATATGACGTCTTCAAGACGCCTTGGAGAAATGAGCAGAAGTTTAAAAGACAACAAGCAACTCATTTACTTTCTTTCTATCTGGCATTCAAATATTGTGATTGAAATCCACATAGACTTCAATTAGGATTACATATCGACTGTTGTAGAAGAACATTCCTCCTTGTTTAGTTTGGCATGTGTTGCCAGGCAAATCACGTCCCTAATTATTACTAGGCATGATTTTTTAAGGGCCAAATTACGGACTGACTGGTTAACGTCTGGTTGTTACCTAGCAGATACTTTCTATGCTCTAGATAATAGAAAGTACCTGCTAGGTAACAACCAGACACTTATCAGTTGGTCCATAATTTGGCCCTAAAAGTTGCAAATGAAAATGAACAGCTCTGGCTTCTGAGGAAAAATTTGTTGGAATTGATTTGAATATTTTCAAAAACCCATCACTCTTTTTTGAATATCAACTTACAAAGTTCCTCCTAAAAACTTGAAAATATACAACATTGCAACATTCGTAGACAATCCTTGGCCGCACACTATAACGGCTTCGGCCAAAAAACCTACACGCAAAACTTTCCTTCTGCCCAAAGTATCTAGCAGAAATCCCCATAAGAATCCTGTAGATAACATGCCTAGAAAACACCAATATACATTACCTTATCATCAAATATTATTTTTATCCCTTACCAAGGAATGCCATTGAATTTAACAACCCTTTTTGGGACACGTTCAAATTAAGATCGCAAGTTGCAGCAGGAATAATGTACGATATCAAGCTAGATTCGATTTGTACCAGCAAAGAAGCTGGGATGAGGAGAAGTAATAAAAATAAGTTGAATTTCCCATATTTTGTTGCTGAAATTGCTGTTTGGAAGTCAGCAGGATTCCCTGGAAAAAACAGGCCATAATTTTTTTAGATATTTTTCAAGAAAATTCAACTCACCTCTTGGAATTTTGCACAAAAATGTCATCTTAAACACAAACAGTCAAAGCAATACTAAATTTTTGATTAAATTTTAATAACAAAATAATTTATTGTTTATTTATTATATCTAATTACATCTGCATTAGTTAATTCAATCAAAAATTATCTTTTGAACATCTAATTTTCCATGAAATCATTATGTAGGTATAGCCAAATGTGGGCTTACAGTTTTACGTCAAAAAACTAATATTTAATTAAGAAAAGCCTTTAAATCTCTTCAACGCGCGTCAATTTATTTGAGTTTGTTTTGTCCCTCTGAAGCTTTAAATTAAAGTCTCCACTCCCCTTATACAAGCCTAAAATATATTTTTGACCTAACAAAATATATTGTATAAAAAAATCGTTTAATACCTTAATAAATGTATCAATATTTTCAGCATATTTGCATTTAGATTTGAAATTCATACTTACAATGCACGTGTCATTATTTCATCATTGTCTACAACAATGATAATTTTTGTTTTGAGGATTGATAAATTTTCTAAAAACATTTTGAAGAATTCTAAGAAAAAGTAAATAATTCATAAAAATAAAAAATTATTTGTGTAAAACATTGGAAGTTCCATTATATGCTCATACATACATTGAGGCAGATTTTGAAAAAATTGTATTCCATGGAAGGAAATTGGTTGCAAGAACTTTTCCAGTATAAGGAGACAACTGTTACAGTTTCAAAGAACATTCTTCCATAAACATTATTCAATAAATTCACCCCCTAAATTTCATTGTTTATTTTATTAGCAATTATTTATTACAATAATTATTCCATACTTAAACCTATTTATTAATTAAAAATAAAAATTGTCGATAAACCTAATATCACGTTAAAAATACACTTAAAATTCTATGGAAGGTAGAAAATTTATACCACACTAGCCAATATAAGATTTATATCGTAAACCACTGCATTTTCAGAGGGTGAAATCACGGGTCCATCAAATTCTTCGGATCTAAAACGATCAGTTTATTTAATTTAGATTTTTTTTTTTTGGTTAAATATGCACTGGAGTCGAATAAACAATTTTTTAATGTAGGTACAAGAAGTCTTAAAACAAAAACAAAATTTTATAGCCAAAACAATAACAAAAAATGAGAAAATTTTTCCAAAATAAAACACTATCCTGAAAAAATTCTCCCAAAAGCTTAACTAATTATAATTTGAACTGATCTAAATTATATATGGTCAGCAGGGGGTCTTCAGATTTGTTTCTGTCCCTAAAAAAAACATTATTCAGGGTTGGAAAAATAACAAAAAAATCTCTCAATATGTACTCCTTTTAATAATCTCAATATAAAACAAACCCGACCCTCTCCCCATAATTAAATTCAATTTCCAACTATCACAGATTCTCTTAATTCAGTTTGATTTGCTAACCTGTTGAAGAACACTTTGCCATATTCAAACGAAGAAATCATTATAGCGCAAGCCGGTGCTACTTTTATCAATCTCGGTGTCAATCCGGTATAAAGACCCCTAATACCATGCTGCGTGTAAATGTCCCGGAAAATCATCATTGAAGTTCTGTCTTTTCCTTTCGCACCTTTGCCATTGTTACCGTCAAAAAGATTCGATCCGAATTCGATTTGCTGATGCGTCTTGACTACATCAAAAGGAACAGTAATTGTAGCTGCAATCTATAGAAACAAAATACATAATAGGGATTACTGAAAATAATTGTTACTGTGCTTACACTGCCGGAAATTGCTCCACTAATAAAAATTTGTGAAAATGAGGGGTGATCAGCATCCAAATAAGATTTTATTGTTTCGTAACTCATCCAGTAAATTGCTGAAAATGGTACATCTCTTAAAAGTGTTGGAAATATTCCTCGCCAAAGTCCTACAACGCCATCTGTTCTGATTAGGTTTTTTAAAGCTTCACCTATCTCTAAAATAATAAATTACAATTAAAAAATAGTAACCAAAAAAACTAATTATTGTTTACCTAAATAACTCAACCTTTGTGATTGCATTTTTGTCCTAACTAACTCTAAAGGATTAACAAGAGTAACTGAAACTACTCTAGCAGTTGCTCCAGACACAAGAGGAATCCAAAAAGGTTGCTTGACGGCTTCAGTAGATGATTTATTTTTATTGTATCTGGTTTTCAGTTTTAAGCGTAATTGTTCGTAAGTAACAAAATAACATATTGTTGCTGGTATTGATAATACTAAAGTGGGACTTAAACCGCTCCACAGCGACGTTATACCTTCGTTTCTACTTATTTGAATAAAAGCATCCTAGAATGGTTTTAATTAAAAATTGAATGCTGGAAATTTTAAAGGAATTTTACTATTGTTCCATTAAAATGACTGGGTCGTTTGTACCAAGGATTTCGTGGATCCATCGGTTGGCAGCTACAAATATGATCCATCAATCCGTTGCAATATAGAAAGCAACTGTTCAATGCTTTTTGTTGGGTTTGCAAACGGATTTTTACTACATCCAAGGGAGTCACTGCAAAAAAATATTAGTGTTAAAAAAGAATCATGGCAAGAATGATTAGATGAAAGATGAATGTAGTGTGTGGATTATATACTCAAGAGCGTAGATGACTGCGAACATCCATAAACAAAGGTTTATGATTAAACAACTCGGTTGTTCAGAAAGTTTCTTCTAGGCACTTTTTCAAGTTTCTTGGAGTGCCCACAAAGATAGTTTGGGTTTTGTACAAAGATTTCTCTGATATTGCAATTATAGTAGTTACTGGTTATTTTGTATGTTTCGTTTTAGTCTCCTCTATGTCTTCTGTTGTAGACAGTCTTGTCAATCTCTCTGTGTATGATAGGTCTGGTAGTAGGGATTCCATACTGAGAAAGTGTTGGTCGTATGTAACTTCTATAAAGTTTGCCTATCATTTCTATCGAGTGGTTTTCAAATCCTTGTTTAATGAGGTACCTAAACAAAAGAATTGGCTTTTTTGAAATCTTTAAAATGTGATTCTCCCATTTCAGGTCTGAAGGTATCATGATTCCTAGGTCATTTTGATTTGTCACAGATTGTAATGTCACACTGTTTAGTTCGTATTTTTCGTTTGGATTGTTTAGACCGATTCTTAAGACTGCACATTTGGACTCATTCTCCAATCTGTAGATCATTCTTCAACAGTTTTTAGGTCAGCCCTTAGCTGCCCTGCATGTACTAGCGGATTTATATGGAGCTTTCCATCATTCAAAAAAAAACTGAAACAATTTATTTTAGGTCTCTCCTAGCCTTCTTATTGGGGCATTCAGGCTGAATCTGTTTGTGTTTTTTTAATTTTTTAATTTTTTTATGTTTCGCTGTCTCTCACTCTCTTGCAAACCTTAAATATACTTAGGTAAGAAAGAGAAAATAAAATGTTATTTACTTGTGACTGGTTCCTTTCATGTGATAAAAGTAGGAAATAAATATGTATATTTTTCAGTTAGGCATAACTATTTAGTAAATTAATGATTAGATGTTTTATATCTATTATTAATACTGAGATAAATATCTATGTTAAAGCGCGCCCATCCTAAATGATAATTGTTATTTTGTTTGTTATAGATAAGCTGATTCCTAGGATAAGAATATTTTTTGTTAATTCTTCTTGGAATCAATAAAGCTGATTTACTTTAAAAAAAAATGCAATGACTTGACCTCTCACTCCAAAGTGTTTCAACTTTCCTAGAAGTAGATTATGTGAGATTTTGTCGAATGCCTTCTCATAATCGAGATAGATCACATCTGTGGGTTGACAATTATCATGGTTGTCTGTCCAGTCTTGAAAACATTCAAGTAAATTTGTTGTTATAGAAAATATGAACATACATTTTACCTCACAACTTTGTCAATTTCAGCCTGATCTTAACGTAATTACGCTCAAATTAGAGCCAATTAAATAGTCTACAAATCTCCTGTATATGTGGGGAGTTTACAGGGATCCTGGCTCAAAACAGACACGATACAAAGAAACACTACAATACATTCCCCCTACTGGTCACTCAAGGTACTACACACAACCATCCCTCCGAGGTCTCACGGTTAGAAATAGGTGTACAAATCTCAAAATAATTTCTGAAAATGTTGAGAAATTACGGAAATTTCCTGTCAATTGTCAGAAATTATGTTAATTTTCAGAAATTATAGAAAATGTTAGGAAACTTTAGGAAATGTTAGGAAATTATTCGAAATATTGGGAAATTATTTGAAATTATAGTAAATTTACTGAAATTTATAGGAAATTAGGAAATTATCAACAGCAATCTTTGAGAATTTTTGTGTTTCAAATATTGTTTAGTTTAGTTTATGTTCGGTATATTGTGAATTAAAGTATCTAGGTCCTTATTCTTGAAACAGGAGAGCAATGCTGGGACTCTGTAACAGATAGAGATCGTTATCCCTATCGCTATGCCACTTGCTTTCTTCTTCTCTCTTCGCGAAATCAATAGAGAGGGGACGTCAATAGAGATAAAGAAAATATCTCTATTCGTTACAGAGTTCCAACCCAGCGTTTCCAGGAGAACGAGTGTCCCTTCTTTGTTACTCATATTATCAGTTGCATATCATTGAGAAAGAAATAACAAACGCTGCTCTCCTGTTTCAAAAATGAGGACCCTGGTAACAAAATTAAGGTATGTCTAAGACACATATCATAAACCTCGTCGTAAACTAGAAGTATCACAGTATAAGTATATCAGGATTTCCACCCTTTGAATTTGACACGCAAAGCTGAAAACATATGTGTTTTTTGAGCCGAATCAAGCTATAATAAGGCTTGATTGGTCGCTTTCATGTTTCATGTCAAATAATAATTTTCTGAACTTTTCCATAAGGCATAGGTACTTCTGATTATTTTGAGGATATATCAATCAACACATTAGAAGGTGAGAAGCTGGGATATGATGAAACCATAGAAGATGAGATAACTACAGTCGACGAGACGCTGGAAACTGAGATAGACCTTGATGAAAACGAATAGATGTGTCATAATAAAAGAAGTAAAAGATCTGAAGCTAAAAAATTACCTAAACCATGAAACGAGTTTCTCTTCATCATTTTTGAGAATAAGATCTATCAAAACTGTAAGAAAGTCTACACTTTGCTGGTTATTGAAGGAAAAAAAAAGGTAGCATCTTAAGTGATCGTCGTTTGATGAGGATACAGGGTGAAAAATTAAAACTCCTACTTTCATTTCCAGTGAAAAACGACTAAGGAAGCAACGAGCAAATAAAAAGAAACCAAAAACGAAGGGTACCAAAACTGGCACGATTTTTGAAGAAAATATGGATTCAAGTGTAGAGCACACTTTGGAAAGAAAATATTCCAGAGAATTCCTCTTGTCAAGAGGAAACAACTGAGGAAACCCCAAGAAAAACCTGAAAGGAAATCGGGGAAATTACCATTATTGTTGGAAAGTATTATGTTGACTATTATGAGGATTATTGGTACCTATATAGGTCGTAGTAGTAGTAGTAGTAAATATGCTTTATTGTCCAACAATACAAAAATCTTGACAAAGCTAACCTAACTTAAATTAAATTTTACAACTAAACCTAGAAGCCAGCAAGTCAACAATATCAATCAAATTAAAATTACCGTAGACAATAATTTACAAAAATAATAAATACATTCATTTAACACAACATTTCTTGACATAGGTTTCAAAGACTAGTGGACACAACAACAACAAAAAAAAAACCTTTATTTAGTAGGTATGTCAGTCAAATTAAGATAAATAAATAAATAGGTAAAGTATAAAACAATACAGAAATACACAATTGAAAAAATACACAATATGCTACGCTAGTGCTACACACAGACAGAGATAAAAAACAATACTTATGTATGTCATAAATAAAAAAAATATATAAACAATAAAATTGGTCGTGTGTCGGACATTGATAGGGATCATTGCACCATGAAGATCCTTAAAGAAAACATGACAATTTTATATGGCCCAAGAACCCAGATCATCAAAAAGTAATTTTCATTAGAGAAATTACCATTTCTAATCCATCTTGCCATAATCCATTGAAGATTAAAACAGTTGAAGGTCTACTTTCAAAGAGTGACAAACTCTCAGACAAACTGGCGTTAACAGCCAACTTCTGTCACCACTACAGTGAATATTGTAGAGATGTCCGGAAATTTTGGGGAGAAATTAAAAATCTCTCAGAAATTTTGAAGATTATCAATTTTTGTTTCAGAAATTTCATAGGAAATCAGTAATTATTTGGGAAATTTAGGAAATTATTAAGGAAGTTTCATAAGTTATTTAGGAAATTTTAAAAATTATAGGAAATATGTACTTGAAAAAATTCAGGAAATTTCGGAAATTATGGGCAACATCAGAAAAACATTTCCAAAAAGGAAATAGATGTAGAAAATTTAAGAGCGTGAGACACCCCTCGTATCCCTCTATCTCATCCTGTATTTCCCTTACGCGTATACGAGTATCCCTCCACCAACTTCCCTGTAATTTTCTACCTTATAGATTTTATTTTACTAGTTTTAAGCAGGATTTGCTGGTTTTAGCTGATTTTCTCCTTGTTTTGTGCTGAGTTTAGCTGGTTTTGTGCTGAATGTCACTGGTTTTGTGATTTTCAGCTTAAAACCAGCACAAATTCAGCTAAAAACCAGTAAAATAAAATCTATAAAGTAGAAAGTTACAGGGAAATTGGTGGAGGGATACTTTACCATGTCTGCTTTGTGATCGCTGAAAATTTTTCAAATGTAATTCAGATTATTCCACTCATGTGTTAGAAATCCCATAAGACAAGTGACGATTTTCAGAATTACAGCGAAAATTCTCTTTTCCATTTGTTTAACTAGAGAGAATTACAGCGAGAATTTCACACATCTGTCAAAACTGGTATTCCAACAATAAACTGACATGTTTTGATTGTTGATTTGAACCATTTGAACCAATCAGATTGGAATTACGTGATTTATGAAATTCTCTCATTAAATACAACTTGTGCAATGGAAATATATTTATAATTTTCGACAAATTTGCACTCATGCGTTTTTAACTGAAAAACCAGTTTTCAACTAAAAATGCATTCAGTCAAATTTCCCAAAAATTATCAATAATTTCCATTGCACTCGTTATATTACTATTGAGAATTTCATACATCTGTCAAAACTGGTATTCCAACAATAAATTGACATGTTTTGATTGTTGATTTGAACCAATTAGATTGTAATTACGCGATAATTTGCACTAGTGCAAATTATCAGATAATTGCATACTAACTGGTGCGAAAACTGGTGTTTTGACATTTTTTGACAAAAAATTTAAATTTTTGATTTATGAAATTCTCTCATTAAATACAACTCGTGCAATGGAAATATATTTATAATTTTCGACAAATTTGCACTCATGCGTTTTTAACTGAAAAAGGCACTCGTGTGCACTCATGCTCTTTTTCAAGTAAAATGCATTCGGCAAATTTCCCAAAAATTATCAATAATTTCCATTGCACTTGTTATATTACTATTGATAATTCTCCCATGTTATTTTATACATGGTTGTCATGCTAATTTTTGATACAAACAAACGGTTCCTGATAGCAACCAATTATTTGTATTGATTGTTTAGATGTTCAAATCATTTAATACATATTTATTTCCATATTTTTTGCATTCTCATACGTGAAATAATCCTCTAAATACCACTTGAGCTTTAAAATGAACCAGATAATTTTTCACTCATGCGTGTTTTCTCTGTAAATTATTATAGAAAATTATAGAAAACACGCAATCGTGAAAAATTATCGGTAATTTTGAAGCTCTCGTGGTATTATCCCCGAAAACTTTATTTGTAATTCAGATTTTTCATATCTAATTCAGAAAAACTAACTTTTAATTTCAGATAATTCAAAAATCATGTAGGTAAATTGGATATAAGCAGAAACCTATGTGTGTACATACATAGATAGCTACAGGGTTTCTGAACTGTGAACAAACGGATGTTTAATTACATTGTTCTATACATTTTAAACCAGCCATTACAAATGAAGTTTTCTGAATTACATTTGAAAAATCTTAACTCCAAGTGAGATTTCCTGTATTACATTATTCGAAAAAGGTGTAGTCTTGTTACAGAACCATTCAGGTATCTCTGATTGGTTACGCGAATTTTCATTTTTCCCATTTGAAGAGTTTTAGATGTCATTTAATTTTTGATTTCCTCATTTAACTACTTACTTTTGGATTGTGCACAATGGTGGACACGAGGGTGGACAAAACATGATTTTGTGTAAAACAAACTGTGTTTATTGAGGTTGTGCTTTTTTTCGCTTTTTGCGGAAAAACAGGAAGAGACGCGGGACCTGACAGGACTTTGCAGGGCCTGACAGGACTTTGCAAGGCCTGACAGGACGACTTTACAGGCCCTGACATGACTTTGCAGGAGCTGAGAGGACTTTGAAAGACATGGCCGGACTTTCAAGGACTTGACAAGCCTCGACAGGACCTAAGGCGGAATTCTGTAACGGATAGAGATCTTTATCGATATCACTATGGCACTTGCTGTCTTCTTCTCTCTTTTCGAAATCAATAGAGAGGGGACGTCAATAGAGATAGCGGAAATATCGCTATTCGTTCCAGAATCGCAGCCCTGACACGACTTAAATAATTGCGTTCTAGGCGGGAGGTTAACAACATTTATGGCTATTTTCTGCTTACCCGTAGACTGTAAAGCTTGAAAGTTGAAAGTCTTGTAACTTTGATTTTCATCAAAGTGAGCGAGTAGAAGGATTTTTTTTAATTCCAATCTTTTCCCCGAGGGATAAGCCACTCGGAAATCATTGTACATTTGTTTAGGAATCACTGGGAATCGCTAGGAATCTCTTAGGACTCCATGGGAATCACATAGGAATCCATTGGCAATCGCTGAGAATCATGCCGTAATCGCTGGGAATATCATCTCCTTCTTACCCAGAAAAAAATTAATAAATTAAATATCACACATTTTAAACGATACAGCGTACCAGTCAGTAGTGTATTTGCCTTTAAGATTAAGATAAGAATGTTAGACAATTTGAAATAAATTTGATATCCCAACGAGTTTCCCAATTTCTGAGCGAATAACTGAACCTGAGACTACGAAGAGTTTAGAACTTGAAGAAGAAAAAAAACGAGATGAAGATTAGGTCTGTTCTCACAAAAATCACAAATCAGTCAGAGCGTTTTTGATTGGTGCAAATCGTCAACAACCAGTTTCCTGAGTATTTTCAACCAATGAAATTTGCTCTAACTGGTTTGTGATTTCTGTGAGAACAGACCTAAAGTATGACAATGTTGTAGATCATAAAAATGAAAACACGAATCTTCAAACTTCTCTCGAATCTGACTTGCCAAAAAAAGACACAGAATTTCTTCACACATCAGGGTTTAGCAATTGCGATTCGCCTCAGAGAAGCAGGGACGTTTGTCGATTGAGTATTAAGAGCTATGGGAATGTCCCTGAGAAAGACCCAAAAGAAAAAAATCAGGTCTAGAAAATTAGCACAACGAAAATGGCACACATCAGAAAAACTAGAGTACTAAATTCGGGCCTATTTAATGCTAATTCAGTACGAAAAAAAATAATTTATAACTCTATTTTTAAAAAAATTACGTGCATGTGTGCCAGCTTAAGATTAAGCTGGCACACTCTGGTTGGATAAGGTCGAATCTTTGAAAATCTAGATCCTCATCTCAGAGGATCCTCATATTTAGTGCTAATTTGGTACATTCATGGCACACCTAAAAAACTAAAAATGATGTATTTATTACGAAATAACCACAGAAAACTGCTAACTAAAGACTTGAATTAGCACACATACATCAAATCGACCGCGCGCGAACGGAATTCGCATGCACATATTTAGTGCTAATTTAGTGCTTCAAAAACGACGACCCAAAACGAACTAGTATCACATCAGCACAGAGCTAACCCAAAATAACCCGAACAAACCGAAACTAACCCTAACTAACGTCTAAAATTAGCACTAAATGTGTGCTAATTTAGTACTCTAGTTTCATCGCGTCATCGGTGATAATGTTTGTTAACTTAAACACTAAGCTAGCACACAAGTGCTAACTTTGTGCTGATGTGATACTAATTCGTTTCGGGTCGTCGTTTCTGAACTACTAAATTAGCACTAAATATGCGCATGCGAATTCCGTTCTCGCGCGGTCGATTCGATGTATGTGTGCTAATTCAAGTCTTAAGTTAGCACTTTTCCGGGGTTATTTCGTAATAAATACATCATTGTCAGTTTTTTAGGCGTGCCATGAATATACCAAATTAGCACTAAATATAAGGTACTAGATTTTCAAAGATTCGACCTTATCCAACTAGAGTGTGCCAGCTTAATCTTAAGCTGGCACACATGCATGTAATTTTTTGAAAAATAGAGTTGTAAATAATTTTTTTTCGTACTAAATTAGAACTAAATAGGCCCGAATTTAGTACTCTAGTTTTTCTGATGTATGCTATTTTCGTTGTGCTAATTTAAGGCAATAAGAACTTGAAAAGAGAAAGTATAATAAATACTCGGCAGCGCGAGAAGCAAAGAAGATAGCACATCAGAATCAGAAATAAGTTTGTCGAGTGAAATCTTAACTGAAGATGTCTCTGATTCAGATGAACATAATAGAGAAATCCAAGAACAGCTGGAAATCGGATGATTGTAGGAAATCATTGAGGAAATCAAGCAATAGATAGGAAATGATGTAGGAATCCCCAGAAAAAATGGAAATCACCTGGTAATCATACAAAAATATCTGAAAATCATTGGCAATCAGTCGCCATTCTTGGGATGAGAATCATTGATCATGATCAGTGATTGCCAAATATGGAACATTCCTAAGCATAATTAGTGGTTGACCGCTCGCTTTTCCCTATCCATTAGCAATATTTAATATTTCAATCCAATATTTCCAACATTTTCCTCAATGAAAAAATAAAATGTCCCTGAATGTTGTTTTTTGGAAATCTTTTTCAACATGACATGACACATATTTCACCTTTGGTAATTTGCAGCTTCCTCGGCAGCTTCAATAGTTTCTCAGCTGCGAAGCGTAAAAGTCTTGTAACTTTGATTTAAATCAAAGTAAACTTTTTTTTCCTCAATTTCAATCTTTTCCTCAATCTTTTCTCTATCCATGAGCAATGTTTCAATCCAAAATTTCTAACATTTTCTTCAAAGAAAAAATGAAACGTCCCTATACTCAATGTTGTTTTTTGGAAATTTGATTTTTTCCAAAATAACCTGAAGACACATTTTGCCTTACAACTTTGTTAATTTCAGTCCAATTTCAACTCAATTAGGTTCAAACTAGAGCCAATTAAATCCTCTACAAACCTCTGGTTTAGTTCTAGTGCTGCTTCAATAGTTTCTCAGCTGCAAAACTTGGAAGTCTTTTAACTTTGATGTTTATCAAAGTGAGGAAGTAGGAGACTAAATTTCAATGTTTCTTCTATCTATCAGAAATATTTCAATTTAATCCTGCCTACATTTTTCTCAACAAAGAAATACAACGTTCCTCAATGTTGGGATTTTTGGAAATTTGATTTTTTCCAAAATACCTAACATGGACACACATTTTGCCTTACAACTTTGTTGATTTCAGGCTGATCTTAACGTAATTAGGATCAAATAAGAGCCAATTTAATCTTTTACAAATCTCCTGTTAACAGTTTCAATGCAGCTTCAACAGTTTTTTAGAAAAAAGACAAAAAATCAGATTATTCTTCTCTTAATATTTTTTTCCATCTCAATTTTTGTTTCTTTCAGGTTATCTCAAATCCTCTTTAAATTTCTCTTTCCTAAATTAACAAATAAAAAATATTCAAGAGCCTGGAATAGACAAAAATTGAAAAGATTTTTTTTAACGACAATATAAGTGTTTTTAATGATAAAACCATAAAATAACAAGGACACCGATTGCAATCACGTGCCAGAACATCCTACACATAAGAAAAACCTACTAACAAGGCCAAAAACCAAATAAAATCCTCAATTTTCCTAAAAATAACTATAAAATCCTATACCAAATACTCACTTATAAGGGATGTCAACAAGGCCCCACTACAAGAAGCCAATGCCTGTTGGGTCGGAGTAATTCTATATTTGGGGTCGTCATAATCAATTTCCGCCGGCTTTTTTTGTCCATTCATTTTCTTTTATCAATAATTTATTGAAAATGATTTCGGGGAAAAAAAAAATTAAAATGCTATTTTCTGACATCAAACAAGAATTTTTTTGAGGTTAGGGTTGGATGCGGATTCTTTCAGTTGGCAACTGTCAACAATGATTGGCATTAGCAACATCATACAGATTGTCAACATAACCACACTTTTTTTTTCCTTCTTGTGTCCAACATTTTCCAAGTTTATTATGTTTTTCTCGGTTTTCTCTTATTGAAAAGTTAATAATGGCAGAGTTTGGCTTCTTTCTGGATACTGTTGGAGATAGGGGGAACAATAAGGCAAGCGTTCCAAAGGAAATAAAAACATTGAACACATGTCTTGGTAAGCACACTTTTTTTGCGGTAAATTGCACTTTACCGCACTCATTTGCAACTGAAAAGTAACTTCGCCTTGTTCGGTCAACTGCCGTTGCGTGCGGTAAAGTATCACTTTCCGCATTTGTTAGGTAAATAACGATTTCACTACTCAAAAAAGTACTTTCTATTTTTCCATCTAGAATCAACAGAATCACTTACACCCTTTGAAAAACTTGCCAAATTTAGAGATGAACTTCTCAATGACCTAAAAAGTCCAGATGCTGAAGAAAAACAATCAAAACTGATTGTGTTTAGAGATGATCAGCCTGCAGTAAAAAGTACCCGGAAGCCCGAGAAAAAGCCGAAAAAACAATTCATCAAAACAAGAAATATTGCCGATGGATTGAAAAAGGCTGCAGAAGAGAAACCTCCAAGAAAACTAGCCTTGGAAGTTCAAAATGTTTTAAAGAAAGCTATAGTTACTCCAGATTTTGAACAACTAAAAGAAATTCCTCCCTATGATGTATCTAAACGAAAGTTGCAGCAAGAAAGAAAAGTAAAACTAAACTATCAATTATTTTATCGTTAATAATATATAATTTTTAATTATAGCAAGAAAGAGAAAAAACCAAAGGCAAAAATTGGTACGGACTGCCAGCAACCGAGATGACAGAAGAAGTGAAACAAGATTTAGAAATATTACAAATGAGATCAGTTCTAGACCCTAAACATTTCTACAAAAAGAACGACCTTAAGGTTTTGCCTAAATATTTCCAGGTAAGAGAATCTTAACAAACTAAATATCTATCTATTCAGCCTTCTTCAGTCCATCTTTGGACGTAGGCCTCCCCCAGTCTTCTTCATTCCTCTCTGTCTGTTGCCATGTTCATCCACCTGGTTCCAGCGTGCTTCTTCAGGTCATCAGCATACCTCATCTGGGGTCTTCCTCTACTTCTTTTATTCTCCTAAAGTCTCCAGCTTAAGATACACTTATTCCATCGGTTGTCTTATTGTCTGATATTGTAACCTGCGAATTTCCATTTTAATTTTGCTACTTCCTTTCTAATGTCTCTTACTCTTGTTTTATTTCTTATCCACCCGTTCCTCTTTCTATCTATCAGTTTCACATGTAACATTTGTCTTTCCATTGATCTTTGTGCTTTGTTATTTTATTCATGTTTGACTTTGTAAGTGTCCATGTTTGGGATCCATAGGTGAGAGCGGAAGTATACATTGATTATAAACTTTGGTTTTGAGGTATTGTGGATATTTTCTATTTTTCAAGATGTGGCTTAATTTGCCGAATGCTGCCCAAGCTAATCTAACTCGTCTCTTGATTTCTACTATTTGGTTTTCTTTGTTGAGTTTGATAATCTGTCCTAGATATATATATATATATTTGTCGACTTGTTCTATTTTTTCCTGTCCTATTCTGATTGTAATGTCATCATCTGTGTTTGTTATTGTTTTAGTTTTAATGTAGTTCATATTGATACCTATGTTAGCTGCTGTATCAAGTTCTTCCAGCATTTCCGTCAGTTCTTATTTCTTATCAGTTATTAGGACGATAGATTGTAGATTGTAGATTTCGAGGGAGTCGTTTCGGCTTTTCAGCCGCTCAGCACTGCTACGTTTGCAGATATTTTGTGCGTGACTCTACATCTTAATTTGTCTCCAGGAAGCGTAGACTTCTGCCGAAGGAAGCTATTTTCCTGGGTGTCAGTTGGCCCACTTCTTCTGGTGACAGTGTTGCCCCCTCGAGGAATTCGAGCCTCTTGCAGAATTGGGCTGGACATATGCAGAGCAGGTGCTCTGCGGTTTCTATTGCGTCTGAGCAGAATCTGCAGAGATCGTCTTCCGCTCTGCCCATTAACCTTAAATGGTATTTTACTGGGCAGTGTCCTGTGAGCAGTCCCTATTAGGATGATATCTTCGTATCTTAAGTTGCTCAAGTGTTCTCCGCATATTTTTATTCCTTGGGAGGAATCCCAGTCTAGTTTTTTACAAACATCTTCCAGGGCCTGGTTGAAAAGATTGGGTGATATTGTGTCGCCCTGTCTGACACCTCTTCCTATGAGTATCAGTTTTGTTCCCTTATGGATGTTGTTGCTTTGCTATATATGTTGGTTATTAGGTCTGTGTATCTGTAGTCTATTCTGCTATTAATTAATGAGCTCTTTACTACTCAGTGTTCAACACTATCAAAAGCCTTTTCGAAGTCGCTAAATGCAATATATAGCGGGATGTGATATTCGTTGGCTCGTTCTATTAGGATTTTCATGGTTAATAGGTGGTCACTTGTACTGAAACCCTTTCTGAAGCCAACCTGCTCTTTCGTAACCATCGAATTTTATTATTAGCCTGGTGGTGAGAAATTTTGTGAAGAGCTTATAAATTACATTGAGGAGTGTTATAGGTCAATAGTTTTTCAAGTCTGTTTTATCACCTTTTTTATGAAGGATGATGGTTATGGATTCATTCCAGTTGTTTGGGATTTTCTTTTCTTTCAGTATTTTATTTAGGAGGGTATGAAGAGTATTGATAAACGTTTTTCCATCCTATTTTAGCATTTCTGCTGTAACTCCGTCTTTTCCAGGTGCTTTGCTGTTTTTCATTTCTTTCAGAGCACTCTTTATTTCAGATTTGCTTATTTCGGGTTGTAGTTCTGAGTTTACATTCTTTATTTTAGTTTGTAGTTGTTTTATGGTTTCTTCCCGTTGTTCCTTTTTTGTTTGATATAGTTCTGTATAAAAGAGTGTGATATTTATGATATCCTCCTTAATATTAGTTACTACGCCGTTCTTATCTTTTATTTTATTTATTTCGTATCTTCCCAGTGTCGGTCTTAGGCATTTCATATTCCTGTTATTGTCTATGACTCTTTCTATTTTGTTTTCTTTTATCATTTTCCAGATGATCTTATTGATTTCTGTGTATTCTATCGATTTCCTTTTCCCCTCTTCGTTCAGTTTCCGCATTCTTTCCATGAGTTTATTTGTCTCTTCTGATATGCAATCTTCCTTCCTTTTATCTTTTTGTGCGATTTCTTTTCCTACCCTAACCATGGTTTCCGCTAATGTATTGTAGATTTTATCTATATTTTTATTATCGCTGTTCAAGTTATGAGTCAGTTGTTCCTTCAGTCTCTCTTTGTATATGCATGGTTTTATTTTGTGCAAGTTTGGTCATGTCTAGTTGTCCCTTGTTTCCATTAGTTTTTCTTTTCATTTCAAAGTTGTCATCGATACATATTTTTGCTCTGACCATTCTGTGATCGCTGCCTGTGGTGAATCTGTTCAGGACTGTTACATCTTTAAAAATATATTTTTAAGTGGTCAGTATGTAGTCAATTTCATTTCTCGTTGTTCTATTAGGGCTGAGCCATGTCCACTTTCTTTGCGGTTTCTTCTTATAGATCAAGTTCATTGCATATAGATGTTTTTCTTATAGATAGTTCATTAAGGTAGTGCCCCTATTGTTCCTCTAACCGTACCCAAAGTTCCCGATTTTTGTCTCTTCTTTATTCAGCTTCTTACAAAGTTTGGCATTGAAATGTCCAACTACTAGAGTAAGGCGAGTTTTATGTTCTTCCATAGCCTTTGAGATATCTTCATAGAATATTACGATGCTCTCGTCGTCGTATGTTGGCTTGAATAATTTTAAGCGATGTTCTTTTCATTTTAAATATGAGATAAGCAACCTGATCTGAGACTCCCTTGATAGTTTGGACGTGTTTACTTATCGCTTTATTTATAATAAATCCTACTCCAAAGTTACTGTTGTTTTCGTTACCTTTGTAGTATAGCAGGTTATCGGAGTTCAAACTAAATATAAAATACAAAAATTTGTTTTTTTAGGTTGGTAAAGTTTTGGACTCTCCACTAGAGTTCTACAATAACAGACTTACCAATAAAGAACGCAAGAAAACTTTAGTAGACGAGCTACTAGCTGATGCTGAATTCCAACAATACAACAAGAGGAAATACGGTGAAATTATGGAAGAGAAACAGAAGACGCATTATAAGAGTTGGAGGAATGCTAAGAAATTGAAGAGGAAGAAGAAGTAGAAATGAGGTTTTCAAATAAAGAAATTCAATTGAAATGGGATTAAGTTTGTTTTAATTATACAATTTCCCTGTAGTAGAGAATTGAAACCTAACATTTTCAAACAGATAACTATAAAAGTATCAAAGAGCTTAAGAACATTTGGAAGATTTCTGATAACTTCTAAAATCTTCCAGCGCTTCAAAATCATTAGGGAACTAATTGAAAATGTTGGGAAGACTTTTGCAAACCTTCAGAATGTGCAAGAGCAAAGTTATTTCAAGACACTAGAGCAATTTATAACTTTGATAAGCTTCAGGAGACTTTCAATTCAATTTTCAATCCTCCTGCATTTGTTCGAGACAAATTGGAATCTTTGAAAACATTGTAAAACGTTACAGAGCACTATAGAACAAATTTAGAGTTTCCAAAACATTCTAGGACAGACCAGAACACTTTTGAACATTTTCTAAAGCTTTTGGACTACTTTAGAGCACTTTTGGAAACATTTTAGAACTGGAGACTTTCAAAATATCTTGAAAACATGACACATGACACTTTAGAACTATGTAGGTAGGTAAAACTTCCATCAACATATTAGAACACTCTAAAACACTTCTGAACCTATTTAGAATTTTAATTATCAAAATATGTTAAAGAATATTTGAGAGATTTCTCATAGATTCCCAATACTAGAAAAGTAAACAAAAGAAGGAACTAGAGCTAAAGTCAAAACCAATAACTTTTTAACCAAAAGTTGCATCGAAAATAAGTACAAAAAAAAAAAAGAGGAATTGTATCAGTTTTGTTCAGGAGTTTATTTTATCTAAAGACAAATTCAAATATTGATAAGAAAAAATGTATTTTTTTTTTTATTTATGAATTTAAGAGTACAATGGACAATAACAATATGAATAATAATATGTAATTGTAACACTACAAAAAAAAAAAGAAGTCTTACCGCATTCAAAAAAAAGAAGAAAAAAAAAATGAAGCGATTTTCCAAATAACTTTCACACTTCACGCACATCATCAGTGTATAAAAAATATAATATAATATTGAAAATTAAACTAAAAATGTATTCTAATAATATTCACAGTATAGTTAACGCTTATAGTTTTCCAAAAAAATAAGCACAGTAAAAAAAAAAAAACAGATAATAATGAGCTACAAGTAGTGTGGAGGTTAGCTTCACGGACGAGTCACCTTATTTTATGTGAGATAATACTTTAGACAGGGAAAAAAAGGTAAAGTACGAAATTTCAAGGCACAATGTTTTGTTTTACAAAATGAAAAGTACGCCATTGAGCCAATTTTGCCAATGAACCATACTTCAATTTCTAAATATTCTTTTAGATAGTGAGTGATCCTTGAAGCCAACCGAGCATGCTTCCAATAAATTTATACAGCTTTAGAGATCATTTTATATTTGACCTAAATATCCCCATATTTTTAAACTAAAAACTAGGGAGGGAATGGACAAACTCTTAAAAAGTATTTTGAGTTTAAATCTTGAAATTTAAACTCAAAATATAGCAGAGACTAAAACATAACAAATCAGTGTGAGGGAATGAGGGTGACAATTAATTGTCTAAGGGTGGGTATTATAAAACTATTTTGTAAGAATAACTTCTGAAATAATGTTACTTGTCATAGTTATTCCAGAAGTTAACTGTTAGTTATCTGTCAAAATAGTTTTATAATACTCGTCATGAAAAAACCAAACTTAATACACATTTGACATTATTTTTTTGAACACAACCATATAAATATTCTACACTACCCTTTCAAATTTAACATTTAGTTAGCCTTTTCGTTCCTTAATAATAACTAATGTCATTCATAAAAATTGTCTTTTTTAATCAGTCCTTAAATGTTAAATTTGTTTTCTTTAAATATTTTTTCTAATGAAATACTATAATAATATTAGAAACAATTGGATTTGGTTTGTTGATATTTATGTACAGGGTGTAAAAAGAAAGAGATGATTTTTCCAAAGCATAATTTAGGTAAAACAGATGTTTATCTTTAATAAACAATGTCTAATGATCCTATTGATTTCAATTGGTGGACAAAGTTATTTTATTAATGAGTTTTGTTGAAATATTTTCAGACACTATTAACTCTAATGTATGCTTTATTTCTTTTTATTTTTTACACTCTGTAAATAATTGATTTACAAGAGAAAAAACTGCCGATATATTCTGAAAATGGGGATGGTTTGTTTATCTTCTGTTGCTGCTTTTTGAATTATACATATATCCTGTTTGAATATGGTATCTCATTTTTCTTGTTAATATAAACTACTTCAATTTTCCTTTAAATGTTAATAGTATTTACAATAATTGAAAAAAAAATATAATTCATCCATACCCTAAAAAACTGCTCCAGAAATAAGATAATTCTAAAAAAGAATGTCAGATGAAAATTTGAAACAATTTTAACAAACTTGTCACTTTCTTGTACAAAAAGGCATACAACAAAATAATATCCAGAAAAATGTTTAATACCCTTTTATATTGGAATATAAACAGAATTACACTAAAAGAAAAATGTTTAAAATATATTTTGTTCAAAACTTGCCCCACAGAGGCGGTATAGAAGTTGATTTTCTAGATTCTATAATGTTTAGTGTAGAATTTTGCTTGGGATAGTTGCAGTTTAATGCATGTCACACTGATAAAATTTAAAAAAATAAAATAAAAATTTAAAATATAAAAACACGTAGAAGCTTTTACGAAAGATGAATAAAACTAATTTGTATAATATTCAATAAAATTGGCTATGTAATATTAATTTAACTAAAATATAAATAAAACTAATTTAACCTATAAACAATTAAAAAAAATTGTTCAAATTAAACTAATAATCAATTAAAAAAAAAGTCTATAGCGCCCTCTATAGGTTTTTTTTCTGATAACCTACATTTACTTCGTTTAATTAATGCTTATCAAAGTTGATATGTCGTCTTAAGAAGGAAATTATGTATATTTTTTAGATACCATTTTCAAACTTTTATCACTATAATTTGTGTGGTGCAAAATCCTATTTAACTTATTTCCTATTTGACTATTAAGTTGCATCATAAGACTATTTGTAAAATCCCAAAATAATTCTACAAACAGCCTTTCAAATAATTTAAAATAAGCACTAATTAAATCTTATCAGCAAATATTGCTTTGTTTTGTTTTTTTTAAACTAATTTAAATCAGCTGTTAGGGAAATCTTTATTCTCATCCCTATTCGTTCGAAATCTCAAGCCTGAAACGCTCGCTCCGTCTAGTCTTACAAACCTCAATCTTGGATCAACTTCCACATTTTCTTCAGCAGGATTGAGTTTTCTCAGCCTGTAATTTTCTACTACTGCCGGTTGCATTAATAAATTCGCCTCATCAGCTACAATATGTTGCTGGGGTGGTAACACGTAAGCAGTTTCAGCCGTAATAGGATGCCTAATAGCCAAAGGGTGACCTTGAGGTGTCAAAACACAAGGAAAATTCCCATAATCAAGCTCAGACATAAACCTTGGAGGCATACTTAAACCAGGAGGCAAAGAAATTCGCGAGTTGTTATCAAAAGCAACAGGAACCATTATAGGTGCCTCAATCGACTCTTGAATAAAACTCGGACTATTTGCAACCGACATTAGTTGTCCGTTTTCCACTAAATGCTGATTTTCGACGTTGTCGAGGTCTAGATAAACGACCGGGCGGAGCGTCGTCGTCTGAGGGAGGGCCAGGTCCATAGTTTCGGAATCTGTAAGTGAAAGTCTACGAAATGTACAATTATTAGTTTGCGTCACTAAGTCGGGCCTTTGTCATTTGGAATTCGCTTGCAAGGCCTGATTGATTTGTTGCCACAGATCTTTTTTGCAAGATTTCGATCTAGAAATAGGAATATTTTATTTGTTTTGAATTTGTAATTTTTCATTGTTTTACCTTCGAATCGATGATAGCCATTCTTTAAACTGTACGTTACCTTCGGGGGTAATTTGGAATGCGGCTCTCGCAGCTAAAACTATACTAACAAAGTCTTCGTAGTCGGCAGTCGTCAAGTGATATAACTTTTGGTGCATACACTGATGAAAAATACAAATTTTAGTGAAAGTTTTTTGAAAAATGAACTAAGTTTCAGGTAGCTACATTTTGATTGGTTTAATGACAACAGTTTGGGGTATTACAACAGATATTGGTTCATTTGTCTAGAATATCAACTGTTTCCTACACATTGTTCTTATTACATTCATAAAGATTAGATGACCTAGAGAAAGACTAGCATATCATTTCATTCAGGGTTCACAAAATTGATAAATTTACCACAAATTGCTTAACGCGATTTTATTTCTGGAAATAGAAGTCCGAATGAGCTGAAATTTTCAGGATATCTTTATTGATATTGATGTCACCCTTGGTACCTTAAAGGAGATTTTAGAGAAAGAGAATTGTTAAAAAGCTGTTATAACAAGAAGTGAAAAAGAGTTATGAGATGCCTAAAATTTCAAAGTTATCTTAGACATTAATTTGTGAATAATTGTAAGTTTTCAAACAAACTATTTACTTTTTTAAATTCAGCCTGGAGTGGATGCATACTAGCCAAAGGCCTTGACTTTGACAGTATTGCCCACTCCTCATTGAAAAGTTATACAGAGAACTATCTGAGAAACATTTTTTTTTTTTGGAAAAAAGTCAAAGATCACTCTATCAAAAATTCATGTTTTTTTAAATATAAGTTAAATAAGTTTGTTAACGGACAAGCCATTTACAGTAAATAATACAGTGTGTCCACTTAAGTTCGCAACATATGGGAAACTTTTTTATTATCAATTCTACGAAAAAAAGTTATTCTTTATAAAAGTTTCTGCGTCTTGAAAAAATAGGAATAAACTATTGAAACTTGGAATAGCATGTACAGGGTGGTCAGAAAATAGAAAAATATACAGAGTTTTTTGGTAAAAGCAGAAAAAAAATGGCGCGTCCATTATGTTTTAAAACCTTTGATATTTTTTGCAGATTAAGCAAGTCATATAACAATCAAAAGATACCTTTCTTTATCACAAACAAACCTTACAAATTTGAAAAAAAAAAATTGGAAAAGGGATTTTTGAGCTAAAAAAACATTTTTTTCTAAAACTTTGACACCCTGTATCTCAGAAACTACGCATTTCCGGACACATGTTTATGGGAACTTTTTTTCTTAAAATATTGTAAGCAATCACATGCGAACCGTACTGAGGAAACACCCTGTATATTTTTCTATTTTTTGACCACTCTGTACAAGCTATCTCAAGTTTTAGTAGTTTAATATTATTTTTTCAAGAAGCAGAAACTTTTATAAAGAATAACTTTTTTTCGTAAAATTTATAATAAAAAAGTTTCCTGTATGCTGCGAACTTATTAAGTGGACACACTGTATAACACAAAGATACATGACTTTTTTTTTTCTTAAGTAAATAATTCGTAGTTTCAAAATTATACGCATGCATGCACAAGTTATAATATTAAAAGAAAAAGAGTACAACTTACAATTCAACATTAACATTTACAGTATAGTTTATACGAAGTCAATCTGAATAGCATAAAAATCGTGAAGGCCGCATCTTCTTATGAAATTAGGCATATGCGTACAACAGCCTAGGAATTAGAATTGAAATTCTTTGTTCTTGGGAATTCCTTGGCTATTGTAAGCATATGCAATATTCATAAGAAGATGAAGACACAGTTTTTATGCTATCCGGATTGACTTCGTATAAACTATACACATATAAATTTGGCAATTCTTACCTGAATATACATTTGATGACACTTGCTAACTAAAGGCATCAAAGCTGTGCGTAAATGTTGCATAACAAGCCCGGGATTGTTCCTGGATAGGTGCTGAGCCGCCTCTATGGCCACGTCGTGCAACACAAAGGGACTCACAATAGAGTTGACTGCGCATACGCAGAAATGATGAAGATGGTGCGTGCCTGAAAAAAAAAATCATTTAATTTTCCCAATAATAATGTTTAGGTAAATAATATTGTTACCTAAATTCTTTGAGATTCTTAACAGCCATTTAACATCTTCACCGTAAGGGGGGTTTCGGGCATATTTCGCCTGAGGTCTGTCATCATGGACTCTTCTGGCCAACGTGTCCAATGCCAACATGCCCACCCTGTACGCAGTCAACAAATAACGCAGTTGCGTCTGATTTAGTTGTTGGGGTCGATGGGGTCGGATGAAGGCTTGTTGTGGATGAGGGGACATACCTAAACAGAATATAGCTTTGCAGATCATTTTAAACTGTAATAATTAGGACTGCTAGTGTTTTTACATACAAAACCCAGGTTTTCCCTGCTTATTGAATTCTAAATTACCCAAATTAAAAAAAGTGAAGTTAAGATGTCTCAAGACTGCTATAAATGCGATACGCCTTGCGTTTCTAGGGAGGAAAAAGTTGAAAGTCCTGCGGTGAATGCACCAGTGCATTGTCGGGCAAAATTAGGGAGATTCCAAGCCTTTCCAGAAAAATCCTATATTTGCGCCCTAGCTGCAAAAATTCAATTAAAAAACTTCCAGAAATTCAAAGCATACTGCAAAAGTCAAGAGAAAACTTTTAAAAAAACTCAAGAGAAGGAGGTAGAAACAGTTGGGAACATCGAAAAATTAAAAGGGGTAGTAGACTCCCTTAGAGACTCTATGGAACGAAGGAGGAAGGAAAATGAAGCCATCAAGGATGAGATAACAAATATTAAACTTAAACAGGTGGATCAGAAAATCCTTGTTGGAGTGAGCTATGGCGATGCATCGAAGAAGCTTGAAAAAAGAGTTGATACCATAAAAACAACGGACCTTACCTGCCTCATGATTTAGATTTTGGAAATCGATTTTTTACGCTATCTCAGGAACTATAAGTGCAAATGAGCTGAAATTTTCAGGGATTATAGTTTCTTGATTAGGATAAAATTCAGTGAAAGTGCTTCTTTATCTTCTGATGTTTTTATGGTATCAACTCTTTTTTCAAGCTTCTTCGATGCATCGCCATAGCTCACTCCAACAAGGATTTTCTGATCCACCTGTTTAAGTTTAATATTTGTTATCTCATCCTTGATGGCTTCATTTTCCTTCCTCCTTCGTTCCATAGAGTCTCTAAGGGAGTCTACTACCCCTTTTAATTTTTCGATGTTCCCAACTGTTTCTACCTCCTTCTCTTGAGTTTTCAGGGATTGTAGTCCCTTGATTGGGATAAAATTCAGTGAAAGTTTCAGCTTTCTATCTATAATAGAAAAAAAGTTATGACCTTTCAAAGTTTTCCAAAATCTAAATCATAAGGTCTTCTTACTAAAACGATGAAATTTCAATTTTTTTTCTGTCCAGATTTTGTATCCTAATGATCAATCAACATACCCCAAACTCCATACACTAAATTATTCTCAGATTTGAAGCCGAAATCTATGTAAAAAGGCACTCAGAAAAATTGAAAAATTGATAAATCACCCCAAATTGCTTAACACGATTTTATCTCATGAACTATAAGTGCAAATGAGATGAAATTTTCGGGGATTGTAGTCCCTTGATTGGGATAAAATTCAGTGAAAGTTTCAGCTTCCTATCTATAATAGAAAAAAAGTTATGACCTTTAAAAGTTTTCCAAAATCTAAATCATAAGGTCACTAAAACGATTAAATTTCAAATTTTTTTTTGTCGAGATTTTGTATCCTAATGGTCAATCAACATACCCCAAACTCCATACACTAAATTATTCTCAGATTTGAAACCGAAATCTATGAAAAAAGGCACTCAGAAAAATTGAAAAATTGATAAATCACCCCAAATTGCTTAACACGATTTTATCTCATGAACTATAAGTGCAAATGAGATGAAATTTTCGGGGATTGTAGTCCCTTGATTGGGATAAAATTCAGTGAAAATTTCAGCTTTCTATCGATAATAGAAAAAAAGTTATGACATTTCAAAGTTTTCTTACTAAAACGAAATTTCAATTTTTTTTTTTTGTCGAGGTTTTGTATCCTAATGTTCAATCAACATACCCCAAACTCCATATACTAAATTATTCTCAGATTTGATGCCGAAATCTATGAAAAAAGGCACTCAGAAAAATTGAAAATTTTCAGGGATTGTAGTCCCTTGATTGGGATAAAATTCAGTGAAAGTTTCAGCTTTCTATATATCTCGAAAAAAGAATTAAACAACACAAATACGACTTTCGAAATGAGAGACAATATATTGAGGAGAAGCTGCACTGGCTAGGCACCATTTTGAGAATGGCCACAAGTTTAGGTTCGGGGATGTCAGGATTGTGGATGCAGAGATTAATGGTTACAAAAGAAAACCGATTGAGATGATCCACGTAAGTATGAGAGATACAGTGAATATTAAAACTGACACGGATGGGTTAACTAGTGTATACAGTAACTGAGACAGTAACTTATTGAAATCATACAGGCAGAATAACCAAGTATCTTAGATTGATGTTAATATGTAGTCCTTACAAATGTTATTGTTGACTTCTGACTTTGCTAGCCAAGTGCTATAAATAAAGAATATTATGACTATTATTATTATTATTATTATTTATTACCTGGCGGTGGTTGAGGGTACATATGCTGCGGCATAGGTCTAGCAGCTTGAGGCGGTGCCTGGCCAATAGCAACCTGAGGCGCACCAAAATACTGCAAATGACCTGGATGAGCTGTAGGCGGCGGAGCAGACGGCCCACCTTGAGGCGGCGGACTCGAATAGACCGCAGCTTGCGCTTGCTGAAGTTGCTGATTAGGCACTGGCGGCGCCACGTATTGAGCTGGGGGCGGCACGTACTGTGAAGCGGACTGCAACGTGTATTGCGACGTCACAGGTGGATTGTTGGAGAACGGAACCTGGACAGCAAATTATTCTAATTGAGTCCAAAATGTGGGTGTATATTCTAACCTGTTGCGTTGTTGGGGGCGGCGGTAAGCTTGCGTAAGCTTGAGGAGCCATGGGTGGCGGGAAAGGCGGTAAAGTTTGAGCTCCGGGCGGCGGCGGTGGCGGATATGGGAACTGATATTGAACGTGAACGTGTTGAGCTGTAGCTGCTATTGGTTGAAGAGGACCTAAATAAAATCATATAATTATATATGTACGTTTTTAAAATCAAAATTATATTACCTGCATAGCCTACTGACCCTGCACTGGGATGAGCTGGCACAAAATTGTAATGGCTCACATACATACCAACTGGTGGAGTACCATGCTGGAAATTACAATCATTTGGTTACAGTTTTATGTAAACTTTAATACTAACTTGATAAGGTGGAGGAGCTGTGGTAACAACTACAGGTGCAGAAGGAGGAGGACCATCAGCTGTCACAGGTTGTTCTAAAAAAAAAATAAAATCGAGAAAATGACTAATCATCGTACATTATAATTACTAACCAATAAGGGCTACTAGTTGCGCATGTGGATCTATGAGAGAATCATGAGGAGGAATATCATTGTCGATAAGCTGTTCACCCCCTGGAGTGTTCCGTATGTACAATTCATACCAATATTTAGCAACCTTAAATAAAATTGTCAATCAAAAATCATACTGCTAAAAAATGTAATGAAATATTTACCTGGAAAAGTACTTCTGGATAAACACCTCCACCTTTGGCAGCACTTTCCACTGTCAAACATGCATGTTCAAGCATATCATCGCTTTGTTCTTTGCATTGCAATATGGCTCGTTGAATTTCGTTCGGATTGAGTGCGTGAGAGTGCGGCAGAACGGAAAGAGCCAAATTCGCAGCTGCACTAACCATATTATTATCACAGCCTCTAGATGCTCTATCGGCAATGCTGGCAGCTTCGGGCGGCGTCAAATGTCCCTCCCAAGTATCGATAAGGAAGGAAATTGCGGCGGCGCCGATTTCCATTGCCTGGCCGGTGATCCAAGACACGTGAGAGCTGTAAGTTCTGCTCAGCCAATTGGGACTGACGCAGTTGTGAAGCCCCAAAGCGTAAAGGCCCAGTTGGAATGCGCACATGTGTAGGGCCCTGTGAGGACCGTGGTGACTTTGGGTGGTTGATGGTTGGGTGAAGAGAGATGTACTACTTGTACCACCTGGAAAAATTCAATTAAATCAGTAATTTAAAAAAATTACCCTAGAGTTGGCGCCTTACCAGCTTTTGTTAGCACAGTCTTAGCTAATTCAAACATAAAATGAGCTCCTGCTTCAGAGGGTTGATTGGGAATTGAAGGGTAAGCTCGTTTCTTGTATCTGCTCTCCTTATTTCTCGATACAGCACCTTGAGCTAGCTGATTGGGTTGACCGTTTAACGATAAATTGCCCATTCCTTGTTCAACTTCAGCACTTGTTGAACTATGAGGCCTGCTACCATTATCTGAACAAAAAAAATTAAATTAGTTTAAATATGAGTCAAATAAATGGGTTCTCACTGCAATCAGTTGATATAATTTCAGTTGGAGGAATAAATGGACTAATTGGGGCTAAAGTATTATCACAGTCTTCTCGTCTAGGATGGTTATATTGGCTCCGAATGGGCGGATTGTTTGTGTAATATGAACTTATTAGTGGCGTTTTAAGAAGCTGATGAACTTCTCTGTCAAGCAATTTATCCATAATTCTATTAGAAAAAAAAAAAACTTTTATTATAAAACAAACAAAACATCAAAATGTTAATGTTACCTGCAAATTTTATAACAATCATCTTTATAAAACGTCAAAAGTGCTATAGCTAGTTCTCCCCGTTGTCTTCTTGTGCCTTCACACAATAGAGGATGGTCAGCTTCTGATACATTGGCTTTGAGCCCCAAAGCTACAACTGCAGCCTCAAATGCTAGAGGTTCGTCGCTAGGCAATCTCATGCTGATTATTTTAGATCTATCTCGTCCAACCACAGATGGAATAACTAACGCATCAAATATAAAGCTTGACAGCATTGTTGGCAACATTGCTTCACCTCTGGATCTTAACGTACCATCTACAACAATGACTATTTATTGGAATTTATGTAAAACTAATTGTCTAATACGTCACCTTTGATTTGTTCAGCACGTTTTCTTAAAATTTGTAATTCTTTATGACCTAAAGGTATTTTTCTTAACAAATTTACTAAATCTGTCTCTTGATTAGCTAATTTAACTTCTAGAGGCTTGGTACTTGCTGGAGGCCTTGCCATTTCTAAGCCAAACATACCTACCCTAAAAAATAAAATAAATTTTATTTCCTCAAACTCTAATGTCTCTCATCATCTTTACCTGAATGCAAGATGATAATGTTCAGGATTCTCTGACAAAACAGAACATAAAAACGCCCCCTTTGACAAAGTCGCTGATGCCAATACGCTCAATTGATGAGTGGCAGGATTCAGCTGCAGCTTTTTGCCTTTCTTTTTGGGAATTTGGGGCACTTCGACCATTAAATTGGGTGGATTGGCCAGAAGTTCTTCTGCAAGTTTCACGCCCAGTATGCAGGCTTCCTTGCTGTGTCCGTGTGCATGCAAACCTTCTGCCCTGGCGAACAATGTATCCCACGGATCTTCGCATTTTCTTGTTTCAGAAAATACCTCTGATTGGCTGTCTGATTGATCGATTACTGCTTGGCTAGTTGATGTTTCAGCTGTTGCAACAACTACATTATCCTTGGAGAAACAAATATTTAGAAATAAATTAAACACAGTATGCAGTTTATTAGTTACTTTTTTTGCATTGAAAAAATACATGCTGTATTCGTCTCCAGAATTTGGCGATTCTGACGAGCTGGATTCGTCTTTAGATTGTCTACGGGATTCCTCTTCCGTGTCGGTGGTTGATGGAGGTACTTCATAAGCTGGTGTTGGCCTAACGGAAAAACAAATAGAATTAGAATAATGGAGTTATGATTTTTCAGCTAGTAAAGTATGAAATAAAATTTACCAATTTTTACTAGTTCCAGTGCTACTACTAGCAATAACTTCAGCATCCTTTATAACCGTATTTTCACTAGCATTATCCAAGCCGCAATGCGGTCTCGTTAAAGGCGTATTACTATCTCTGCTGCTGCTACTGCTAGACGAATCACTGCCTCCGCCTTCTTGTGAATCAGAATCGTTGTAGCCGACTCTCAAGATATTTATCTCGTCGTCAACTTCACAAAAACCTTCGCTGCTCACGCTAGATCTATTGCCATCTCTTTCGTTTAGTTGAGGATAAGGGTGAGGTTGCGGTGCGTATTCTACAGGATTCATAGACATAACGTTGAATTCGTATCTATGGCGGTTCCTGAACGGATGGTGGTGGTGTCTGTGGTGGGTATGGTGGTGGGCTAGTGGTACTTGTTCGCAGTTTAGGATTGCTTTGGATGAATTTATTTGAGCAACCTGAAACATTGTTCAGTTTAAACCTTTCCTAGATAAATAGAAAATAAATTTGACCTATTGGGTGATTCAAGAAATACAGGGTGACTCAGCCGAGAGTGACCCATTTTAAATGCTTACAACTTGTAAACCAGGTGTGCTAGCTACCTGCGGTTTGTGCCATTCGATTTCTCTTAGCCTAAAGTTTTTTTTAGTGGGTTGCAAAATTTTTTTGAAACTAATACAGGCAGAGTACAAAAAAATCCGTTTTTCATGCTCAATGTATCCATGTACCAATAGACATTGTCCCTGAAATTTGAAGTTTCAGCTGTAAAAAATCAAAATCGAAATCTTGGTTTACAACAATATTTTATTTAAAATAATAAAGCATATTTTGATTTGATTTGAAGCATTTAAAATGAGTCACTCTCGGCTGGGACACCCTGTATAATAATTAACATACTTTTGGAAAAGTATTCCTCAATAGACAGCAAATTTAGGTTGGCATAAATTATAAAACATCACAATAAAAAAAAAAAACAAAATTCATACCTGACTTTCTCCTCTAATACTATCAGGTCCATGTCTAAAACAAGTAAAAGGACAATGATACATGGGATTAATATCCGGAGTATACGTAATTCCAGGCATGGGATAATCGTCCCAATCCGTATAAGTCGATTCGATAGCAGTCTTAAATCCAGTAAATATTTCCAAATCAGCCTTAAGTAAGCTCGCATTTTTATAATAGTTCGACGTCGAAGTGTTTGTAGTATTTCTACATTTGGAAACTTTTTCCAATATTTTCATATGCCATGTGGTGAATTGATTATGCAACATGTCCCTCTCAGACGGCGCCAGCCCTGGATTCAAAGCGGCCAATCTCCATAAAACGACAACTTCGTCGCATAACGAGGATCCGGCATGTTGTGAGGCATGAGTGTTACTGTTTATATTGTTGTGCTTGCCTCCGCCTGAGCCTCCATGGCTAGTATTCCCACTTAGAAGGGCTACTTTTGTGTTAAACCACCAAATTAATATTTGTTCGCAAGCCATGCATTCTTCTGTAATGATTTCCAATAGAGGCACAGCATTTCTGTCATTTCTCTTGAACATTTCTCTAACAATACTTAATAGGTTCCACATCCCTTCAGGCTCTCTGCCTCTCAAAGGTCTTAATAGGGACGACCATTCAGCCGCGGCTGGTGGCGCTACAGTGCTCAAATAATTAACGTCGCTGAAAACCATTGGCGCAGGTACACAGAATTTAATTAAAATTTTCTTGATGTTATCGTGCAAGGTTTTTTCGTCAAGGTACCATGAAGTTTGATCCATTGCCGACGCTCCTGCAGTTGGATCTGGGGCTCCGCTTACTGAATTGATAGCTGACGGTTGCGAACCAAGTAATTCGTCTAATAATCTAGGGGAAATGTCATATTTCAATTAAAGTTCAAATTTGGACGTCGGTACCCATTACCTTTGAGCTGTTGGTAAAATCTGTTCAGGCAATTCGCTGATTAAATATTGGGCAAATTTTTGAAGTTGTTCTCTGCGTAATCTGGATAAGGATTCTGATACAGGAGCTCGTAATGTAACTAAATGTGGCTGAAATTCGAGAAAAAGTATAAGAGCTAATTAACTTTTTGTATTCAATTGGGATAGTGAGGATTTGAGGTAAAATATACATAAATAAACTAATATTGTTTAACTCAACTCACACAATGGATTCTCGTAAGACACACTGCCACAATGTGAGAACACCAGTAGGCCTGAGACTGGCAAGTGCAGTTGCAAGAAGATATTCGACGCCTGTCAAAAGTGACAGCAACATTGTATATGGGCGCTGCAGTGTTGTTGTATCTAGTCTGTTGTACGCTGGCCGATAAGTGAAAACCTATTTGCAACGGATCTTTAACCATGTGGTTTCTGAACAGATTGTCGCCTCGTTGAAATTCGTCTGCTGAACCATTCGCCAAACAGGAATAGAGCCTACAAGAAATATATTATTTAACAAAAAATTACCAACACAATGTTTACCTTATATCTTCTTCATTATCAGCAAAACTCCAAAAAGCTATTCTCAACTGAAGTTGTTCAGGTATAGGCGGAAGCACCTGTTCTACCAATTCGAATGGTATGTGAGATGCCACGCATTTAGCTGCAAGTTCTGTTAATGATGTAACATTCACTGTTGGTTCTGAAACAATTTTTCAATCATTAATACAAATGTCTTATATTATTAAAAATCCTATTACCATCTGAATTTCTTTTCCCACCGCTACCGTAATACCCATTTTGATTGTTCGTAGGTTTCTTCCATCCTCTCCAGTTGTTGCAGACACTTTCAGGCTCGGTACTCCAACTGCACATCGAATCTTCTTCGAATCGGTCAGAATCTTCGAAGCTGAACCTAAGATAATGACAATTAATTTATTTATAAGGTGGCTGTTTATTGGTTTTGGGGGATACACTTACCGATCGCCGTTTATATTTTCGGCTGGGTCCCATTCTATGATTTCGTCTTCGAGGTCCTCTTGGCCTTGGGGGGCGTTTTGGACATTTCGACGCGCCATTTTGACTTGATTTTCTGTCAGAAAACAACAAAGAAATTATGAAAAATTATAAGTACATATTCAATATAAAAACATCTCTCTGATTAAATTTGCGCCATTGCCACTAGCTTAGACGCGTTTAAACTGAAATCTAAATTTCAAAAATGCTGCTTCTTGGAACTTCCTACCTATGAATCAAAAAATTCATCATCATTGACCGAGTCATTGACGCATTCTTTGCGTATTACTTAACTGAGTAATTTAATTGGCACTGAGAATCATATTGATATTTTATTAAAACAAACATCAGACTGCATCATTTTGGAGGTTTGTAGGACAAGGACATTACAATTGTCTGCCAAAACAAAATGTATTCAAAACTTTTTCCTATTTTCGATGTTTACAAATTGCATAAGTATTATTATATTTTCTGAAATACAGATTCCTATTCTAAATTATAAATTCCCATTTCTGAATAGATATTAATAGTAAGATAATTCGAACTAGGAAATAAATAAGATATAATGATGTCATCAAAAAAAGGTGCAAAATATCTTATCAAATAACTTAATCAATAATTGTACTTATTTATTTTTGAAATTATATTCACAGTTGTGATAAAGATAACAATACATCATTATTATTCTATTGTAATTTCAAAATATCCGGAAATAGGAGAACGCTTCTAGGATTAATTAAAAACAAATTGCATTGTTTAAATCCTAAATTCTCAGAAAATATGATAAGAATAATCAAAATAAAATCTTGCTGTGTGTGACAAAAACACAAATTGAATATTGCACTGACCTTTTAGTGTATAAATAAATATTGCATATTAAAGGTTTGCAACATACATACCTACTTTTATAGGATATTAATAGTCCAAAAACTAGATAAAATATATTGTGTAATATTTTTTAAAGGAAGGAACTTTGTCCATTAAGTCAGAACTGTTTCCTGAAGTTGCTCACCAGATTACAGAGGTATAATACAAATAATAAGTTAAATAAAGATACCAAAGTGTCGTAGCGAATTCTACAAAAGATCAGTAAACAATCTGGGATGAAAACCTATTCTTTGATGCCTGATGAAATAAAGACCAAAAGATTTAAACAGTTTATGAATTAAAGAATTAAGTATCTTGTTTCATTGTAAATATACCTGATGTATCCTATTTTGAGTGTTTATCTGAACTAATTTATTATCAACTTCTTTCAATAGAATTTTATAGTTGTCAACTAAAATTGAATTAAAATTTGGTCGTTTTGCTTCTGATATCGAGAAAGCAATATAATTTGATTTTTGTTGAGGTAATGGAAATTTGTAACTATCAAAAAACAATGTAATTGTATTTAATTTAGGATTAATTTTACATCTTCCCATGTTTTGGTAATAAAGATTACAATTGAATCATTTGCATAACCAAAATTTTGCCAGGAACTTGAATGGTAAAAATTTAGTTGATGGTAATTTCAAATAAAATTGGTCCTGATACAGTGGGTGGGCTCCTATTTTAATTATATTAGGATCACTTAAGGTTTGAGTAGTTTTCTGTCTGACAAATTGCACTGTAAAAGATAAAGCAGGATTTAGCAACAGACCTAGACTCTTTACTTCCCTATCCCATTCAATATGCCCCAACACCTGCACGCAGCTCAAATCTCTTGCATCTATATTCCTTCCAAGCAAAATAGCTTTAGTTTTAGATGGATTTACAACAAATGCATTCTTCTGTGCCCACTCAGTAACCTTAATAAGATCCTGATTAATTTTTCCCAAAGCTAAGTCAAAGTTATCCCTGAAAAATGACAGATATTCTTGAACACTTGTTAAGTCAAATGTATAAATGGAATACAACAGCGGTCCAAGAATGGACCCCTGTGGTACCCCAGATCGTATCTGTCTTAGTTCTGAGAGCTAAGTGATACCTGAGATGTTGATTCGCGTCAGCTGGTAACGCCTCTATAGATAATTACGAAACCAGGGGAGGCTAATATGATCAATGTTTTAATAATTGAGCTTGGCTAAGAGAAGTTCGTGATTTATTGAATCGAAAGACGTTGTCATGTCCAGTAGGACCAAGGCTGTCCACTGTCCCTTATCATTGACTACTTTGAGTAGAGCAGTAGTGCACCTATAGTTTGGGAGAAATCCTGACTGAAAAGGTGGCAAAATGTCAGTTAGTTCCACATACTCATTGATCTGTTCATGAGCCACCTTTTCCAAAATCTTTGGAGCAGTTGGCAGTGTACTGATAGGCCTAAGATCTGTGATTGTTGGATTTGGGTTTTTTTCTGGGGAGTGGTCGTATTAGAGCAAATTTTCATAAGTCTGGAACTTTACCCTGTTCTGAGAAATTTATAATGTTCACAAGTGGATTTAGGCAAAATGCTGCAATACAGAAATTGCTTTTAAGTTATTTACCATTTGATTTGATACATAGCATCTTTCGTGCCGAGTTCCGTGCTTTTACCATTTTGAAAACTAAACTGATTATAGAAGCATTACATAGGGAATTGCAAGGATTTCAAGGGGATTGCAAAGATTACATGGATAGCAAGGATAATACATGCATCACAGAAAGAGTACATCGGAATACGTGTATTATAAAAAAATGCAGGAATTGCAAAGAAGGGAAAATAAATAGATACTGAAGTTATTATGACATACAACCTATTAAAAAGGTAAATGATGAATGAGTCTTCATGACGATCTAACTGGAAATAATAGCTACTTAGAACAATACTGTCACTTTCAATCCCAAAAATGAATATAAAATAGAAATATGATAAACTTTCCAAAGCTGTTCTATTAAATAAATATGATTAGATGGCTTTTGTTACACAACAATAAGTCTCTTGCGAAAATCTTGGGACGTCACTGACAGCCAAAACTCACAGTATCTAAATCATATTGCAGGGTAAGGAAAGCAACCTTTAAGTACTAGAAATGGCGTAGATGATATCCAAATAAGTCTAGTTACCTACATCAACATCATCTTCCGAGAAGATCGTCCACATCAGAGAGCTGGAGGGGCATATATTTTAGTTAAAAACCAGGTTGACGGACACAGTTTGAGCTGCACTCTTACTGAAAATTATCAAACTGAATCACCAATTGATGCTGTATGGCTGGAAAAATAGATCACATGAAAAGTCTTGTTGCATGCATCTACAGGCCAGGAATTACCACCACAGAGAAATCTAATAGTCAGATGATAAACATGATATACACTGCTTTTGGAACCAAAAAAAAAAAAAAAACAACATTTTTATTAGGAGATTTTAACATAAATTGGGAAAACCTATTGGTGGTCCCAGGAAAATCCAAGAGACATATTACGAAATTGACGAATTTCTGGCGAACAGGTTTTAAATTTTGGGTGTTTTTCTGGATTGTTCTGGGTATAGTGTGCGCTATAATTGTTAATTAATTTTTTTCTTCAAACTTCTAAATTCGCTGTTTGTTTTATTTTTATTTTTTTGTTTTATTTTTTAATAACGAGTGATTTTTAGTTTTTAAGGCAATAATAATGGTAGGTTGTAACAGGAACAATATTGTTGTAACGTAGTATTTAAGGCATTTAAAAGATTTTTTTTCACATGTTATGATTATGACATAGTAAGTAGTGATGTTAGTTATTAAGGCTGCTTTGTCAACAACAATTTAGTTAAGACAATAAAGCATAATTTGATTTGATTTGATTTATCAATATGTATCCGCCGAGGTATATGCAAACAACATTAATCAACTAATAAATTTTCCCATCCGTTATAAAAATTACCAGAGCTCACTGTTGGATCTGTTTCTTTGCAGTGAAAAAAAAAAGCGTATTTGATCTGGAATCAGAGCCACCTATAGGACATACTCACTACTGACGTCACAGTGCTAAAGTACAAAAAAAAAATACCCCAGAAATCAACAAAGAAGGTGCTCAGAAGAAATTTTAACATTGCAAGATATGAAGATGTCAACAACTACATCAGACAAAAACCTAACGACATAAGACTGACCAAATTTGAGAGCTTTCAGATGGTTTTTAATGAAACAGTACAAGAATATATACCATTGAAATCTACAGAAGTAAATCAGCAAAAACCAGGGATAAATCAAAATCTATTCAAAGAAATTAATAGAAAGCGAAAACTGTAGGATAGATAGAAAAAAGAAATCACAAGAAAACTACCAGGCCTATAACATCGGAGTCGCTAAAAGGAATTTACAAGTATATACAGTCTGACAGCTGAATGAACTTTGGCGACGTGTGAAGTGGCAGAGGGGAAAACCAAAACTACCCAATCATGAAATTGCGGATATGGGTCCCCAACGGACGACTCGCTTATATATTAATCTGGCTCCAATCAGGAGAGTTTTGCGCGCATTCCTTCAACAGAGATTCATTCAATTGTCGCACTTTAAGCAGGAACTTAAACTCCAAGGTGACAACAATCACTCTCAAAGACCATTTTGACAGATCATTTAATCAGAGCCAAAATGGTACCCTCCCTCAACTTCCTGCACACACCCGACTGCATAACTCAATTGACAGTATACAGTTCACAGAAAAAAAAGTCAAAGAGGCATTGAAAAACATGAAAAGAAATTTAAGTCTGGGACCTGACAGTTTTACATGGAGAAATGTCAGTTTAGGACATACCTATTGTTAGGGCTTTCCTAAAATAGTTGGTGGAAATGGCCATAAGAAGAAAGTAAATATTAGAAATTGTTTTTCATAAATTTATTTTAAATTAATTAGGTATTTATATAAAAAAAAAACTTAACATTCTGAGTATCTAAACTCAAATATATTTATTTATTTTAAAAAAAAAAACTAAACTTTCTGCTTATCTGAACTCGAACAGAAAAACCGTATCGGTCGATCCCTGTTCTCAAAGTATTCCCAGCAAAGTGTACAGTGATTCCAGTTGATTTACCCCTGGATAATTTAACTTAAAATGGTTGGTGCAAACGGCCATTGATAACTTAGTTGACTGTCCCCCTTTGTTGAACAGCATTTTCCTGTGAAACAGACTAGGCAAGTGCATCTTTTTCATACTGAGTATCATAAAACTGTACTAATTATGGTTTTTTCTGCCCCTATGCGGAGAATAGGCAGAGAAGCTAATCAGCTTCCCTAACAATAAGGATTTTTTTTGGCAAGAAAACTTGTAAATTGTTGTTGAATGGTCTGCAGCGCTAATATCATTGTATTTATATGTATACTGTAAATGTTAAATTCTAAGTTGTTGTATTTTTCTTTTAATTTTATAACTTGTTATGTGCATGCATGCGTATAATTCTGAACAATACTATGGTTTATTTTTTTCCAAGATAGATTTTGGCATTGTCAACTTTGAAACATAAACAATGCCGCTTATTGGTCGCTATTGTAAAACTGATGCAACCTGCAGAAACACCTCATTTTGCGACTAATCAGGGTCAAGTGTTATTGTTTATGTTTCAAAGTTTTCAATGTCAAAATCTATCTTGGGAAAAAATAAAGTGTAGGTACGAATTATTTACTAAAGAAAAAAAAAGTCATAGTCATGTATCTTTGTGTTATATTATTCACTGTAAATGCCTTGTCCCTAGACTTGTCCGTTGATAAACTTTTCAATAACATTAGAAAAAATAGGTACAGAGAAGAGTAGGTAGGTAACTAAATACTACCAGAGCTACAGAATCACGCTTTAACAATGTGGAATCCTTAATACATTAGACATTGAAACATTTGAAAAAATACAGAGAAGAGTAGGTAACCAAAATACCACCAGAGCTACAGAATCTAACTTACACTGATAGTTTGACAAGAATTCCATTGACAACATTAAAAGAAAGAAGACATAGAGGGGATTCAATAGAAACATAAAAGATAACAAGCGGGTACTATAATTGCGATATTGGGCAGATCTCAGATCTTTCACCATAATCAAAACCAACAGCTTTGTGGACATTCAAACCAACTGGACAAGGAAAAGGCTGCAAAATACCAAAGAAAAAAAAATTATAATCAATCGGGTAGTTTACTTGTGGAATGCCTTATCAAAACATACATAAAGTGACCGCCCCTGATATAAACAATGTATAAAAAAAGATTAGTCAGATAAATTAAAAATGGTGCAGTGGAGATGATTCAAGGGATGATTCACTATAGTGCATACTAGTGAACAATAACTTCATAGACTAAACAATAGCGTCATCAGTTCTACCACCTGCAATTGGAAAAATACAGAATTATAGAACTAGAAATGAAAACAAATGCATAAAAAACATTGAGAAAGAACTCTTAAAGTAACCTATTACAAATAACAAAATAATTATTCTACAAAAACATTCTTAGATGTACAGATTGAACACTGATAACAACATAGATTTTAAAGATTGCTGCTTGATTTCAAACATTACAAATGGATTTCATGAAATGCAAATGGATTTCAGATGCTTACAATAGATTACACATGCTTTCAGATATTATTTTTGCAAAATTTCAGTATGATTTCAATTATCTAATTGCAAGGGGATTGTACACTGATTCTGATTTCAGACTATTGTTTACCCCTCAGTGGCCTGTAAGATCATGCTCTATTAAAAATTCAATGTCAGTTTTCTAAGTTCCACTGGTTTCACTTAATAGGCGTTAAAATCAATAATAAATATATTTGATTTGGATGAAGGTGATCTGTATATTGTAAAAATACAAAAATTGGTAAAGTTAATTTAAAAATTATTTGAGTAACAGTAACATTTGAGTTTCTAATAAGGAATTATTTTTGAAATCACTATTTCCTTTGTCTTCTTCAATGAGAAATTAAAACTTATTGATATCCAAGTACATAAACTAATAAAAAAAATTTATAGGTATTAAAGCAAAAATGACAACACACAAATTAGGATAAAATCAAAAACTTTTTAACCATTTCTACATAGAACTATTGAAATTGGTAACCGAAATAAAATATTCCATTGAATAATAAAAGAACATTGTATCATTAAATGGCGATTTATTTTATATTGATTGAGTTAGACATAAAAAACAGAATGGTCTGTCTCAGTATACCAGATATTTGTCCAAAAAAAAAATCTAAAAAAAGTTGTTCGAAATAATAAAGTAATCATGTCCCTATTGTTCTGTTGACTGAAATTGTTAAACAACACAAAAGAGGTCAGGCCATTGCCATTTTATAAAACAATACCAGGTAAACAAGTTTATAATTAATGATCAAATAGCTACCTAACAACCCTGTAGCAGGACAAAGGATTTCAGCAGCACAAAGGCGACCGGAGACGGGAATTCGGGCTCGACCGAGCCCCTCAGCTCAACATCATCGGGCTCCGCTGAATCGGCCGCAAACGAGGAACCACCGAAACTCACGAGTTTCACTTATAAATTCCGAAAAGAACGAGATTTTTCGAAGAGAAACCACAGACCTCCCTCAGGCAAACGACAACAAAAATGGCCGTGTCAGAAACCCAACTTCGATCTGTCAGGAGGACACCATCTGATTTTTCGATTTTGGGCGAGTTCGAACGTTCGACCAACTTTTGTGACGTCATAGGAAGAAATTAATTTATCTTTTAAATAATTTTTAAACAGCAATTATTTAAATTAATAGACAAAAAGCTTTTTATACTATGTAAACTTTACGTGATTTGTTATTTGGAATTTGTACTTATTTTTAGTTTATAATCGATGAAGACAATGGTCGGTTTAAGACCTTTGCATGAAAACGGAACAAGCCCTGAGTGCCTTGTGAAAAGTAGGGTTATGTTAAGTTGACAGTTCATTTTGTTTTGATAAATAAATATAAATAATTTATAAATAAACTTCCAAATAATAAAAAAACATCACTTGGCTCTGTAATTTGTTATTAAATTTATAATTGTTAGAAGTAACTTTCTTCAAACAAGTTCAAAGTACAATCAAGGTAAGAGAAAAACTCGGAGAAAAATATATAATTTTAAGTGGGTGTACTTACAGGTGCCCAAGATTAGACTTTGGCCTAAAATATTCTTACTGAACCATCAAAAGTAGTTAAAGTTTTGTTTGCTTATGTAAAATAATATGTACTGATTTATATATAAATATATCTTAATATCTTCTCAAAAATGTATGTTCAAAGAGGGGGTCTTCCAAGGGGTCTTCCTTCCAGAATGGTCAATTTTGATTTTTTTTTTGTGGTGATGTCGACTTCAGACGATCAATTAGGACCTCAGAAACTCCAGTGCTTTATTGTGGGATTTGAAGCCGAAATACAGGGTGTCCGCTTAGTGCGATATCGGACGATATCTCCTTACAGGGTGATGCAAGAGAAAAAAATTAAATTACAAAGTTGTTTGATACTCTAATATGTATTATTTAAAAATATTTTTGAGTATACAGAGTGCTCCGTTCATGGAGTATGCGACAGAACTTTGTTATTTTAAATAGAACACCCTGTATGTCATTGCATATTTGGATTCTACATAAAATTCTGTAGGGTACGAAACCTAATCGGTATCTGTGTTTGTATTTATAGGTATAAGTATTTTTTTCCGTTTGTAATTATGTAAATATTATATTTCTTCATTTCTCCAAATAATTCTCTTCCGACTGTACCTATTTATTTTTACATAGACTGTACCGTCACGGTTGAATAGGCGAGGCGCGCTGGATCTCAGGGTAGCAACAGGGCGACGAAAAGGGAATATCTCTATATAGGTTGATAGAAGAGGATAAAAGATACGAGCGGGAGCGACTCGCGACGGTAACAGGGTGGCACCGAATGGCACGGCGCCAGTGGGGAAGTAGCCACGAACGAATAATATTAAAAAGAGAGGTCAATCTAGGGATGTCAAGTTTTTTTAAAACACCGGTTATTCCATTAACCGGTTAATTTAATAACAGTTTTAACTGCCCGGTTATAACTGATATAAAATACCGGTTATTTCGATTAACTGATTGATCAGTTATTTTCCCGAATTTCATCAGAATAATTGCATAATTTATACTATAATGTAATATAAAGTTGAACAACAACATCTTCATTGTGAAAAAATCGGGAACTGTTATATGTGAAGAAAAGAAAAAGCATCAAAAGCCGTGTTTGTTTTTGTCATCTTTTTCGTTAATTTGCTCCGAAATTTTAACAGGCACGTGATTTCTAAATTGAAACTGTCTGATCTAGTCACGTGCCTATCAAAATTTCGGAGCAAATCGACGAAAAAGATGACAAAAACGAACATGGCTGAAGAAATACCTACACTTTTCTAAACTGATTATTTCTCTTCTGTCATTTTAAACATGTAGCCGTTGACAAGTACCTCAACCAACATGTATATGTCTTTTTTATGGCCGTTTCCACCAACTATTTTAGGGGAGCCTTAACGATAAGTATTCCCTAAAATGACATTTTTACATGGAGAAATGTCAGTTTAGGAAATACTTATCGTTAGGGCTCCCCTAAAATAGTTGGTGCAAACGGCCAATAATTCCGTTCATTAGGGAAAGATGAAAAACAACCAGCTGCTGAACGAACTAACCGAAATTGGGATGAAATACTAGAGATGGGCACTACTATCGGTTGAAGACTGATGAAATATTCGATTGTTGTCGCATATTCAATATTTTACAATTTATTTAATAAGACGAGAGAAAAGTCTACTTATTTCACTTTCACCGGTTATTAGGTATAAATCCCGGTTATCCGGTTATAACTGGAAGCAAAAAACAACTGGTTTTAACCGGTTAACCGAAGAGTAAACACCGGTTTTTCGGTTTTAACCACCGGTTATTGACATCCCTAGGTCAATCGTTAATTGAACGCTGAAGGCGGAAGACGGCCGCCAGATTTTTCCTAGACGGGGTAAATTTAAGACGCGACGTTCAATTAATTATCAAGACGTATATTTCTAAAGCCGTAAAACGACCAAGACGTGGTCGTGAAGACGTACCTATACTTAGTTGTGAAGTTGTTATTGTGATTTTCCGTGCCAATTGTATATTTATCAATGACGTATTTATCTACCATCTAATCTATCTATTCTTCGTAAATATTATTAAAATTCCTTATATTTTCAATGGACCGTTACGTTTGATTTTCTGCTTGCCCCAAAATACCCCTAGACAACGATAAAAATCCTACAATTCTGAGTAGATTTGATGTGATATACTCTTTACCTAAGTTCAACTGTTTTGGAAATATTGACAGTTGAAAATTGACTTTTTGCATCTTTGATAGACTGTAAAACCTAAACAATAAATTTTAGAGGAAAACCAATTTTACATTCGTATCTTAGATTTTCATAAACTATCATTTGACAACAACTTTGAACCGGAGATCAAATTTAACTGGAATTTTTAATCATGGATTAAATTCAAAGTTGATGTCAAATAATACTTTATAGAAATCTAAGATAGGAATGTAAAATCGGTTTTCGTCTAAAATTAACCATTTAGATTTTACAGCCTGTCAAAGTTGCAAAAAGTCAATTTTCAACTGTCAATATTTCCAAAACAGTTGAACTTAGGTATAGGCGAGGGTATAGGGTATATTACATCAAATCTGCTCAGAACTTTATGTAGAATCCAAATATGCAATCACATACAGGGTGTTCCATTTAAAATAACAAAGTTCTGTCGCATATCCCATAAACGGAGCACCCTGTATATTCAAAAATATTTTTAACTAATGCATATTAGTGTATCAAGCAACTTTGTAATTTAATTTTTTTTTCTTGCATCACCCTGTAAGGAGATATCGTCCGATATCGCACTAAGTGGACACCCTGTATATGAAAAAAGACCCTCAGAAAAATCCAAAAATTCACCACAAATTCCTTAACACGTTTTTTTCTCAGAAACTATAAGTCCAAATGAGTTAAAATTTTCATGGATTGTAGTCCTCCTCTGGGATGAGAGTCATTGAAAATTTCAGCTTTCTATCTTTGCTAGGAAAAAGTTATGATTATTCGAAATTTTCAAAAATTCATGTCCAAAGAGGTGCTCCTAGGTCCATAAACCTAGCAGTCCCAAGGTGGAAAAAAAATTCCGGGAACTATATAATAATTAGGTGCTTTTTAGTAGGGATGCGCCGAAGCGCCTTTTTTCCGATTCGGCCGAATACTGAATCGGTTTCAATTTTGCAGTGATTTGGCCGAAGCTTCGACCGAATCACAAATAATAAGGGATGTGTTTTTAAACAAAAAAAAAAACAGCATTGCTTGAAATACCTATTTAATCATTATATATTTGAATTTTACCATAGTTATATGAAAAACATAAATAAAAAAACGAAAGAAATAATCTGCGGAATATTGCACCCAAAAATCAAAACACAGAAAAATGACCTTTTGCTTGAATTTTCCCCTTGGAATTCTTTATATTCTTCTACGTGTTTTCTTTTTAAATAATTAATCATAGATGTTGTGGAGGCATTTTTACCAAACCACCTCGAGAAATCTCACCTTTATATGTATTGCACTTTGCATATCTATTATTATCTTCACCTAATAAATAACACTTCCAAATATAACTCAACTTTTTATTCATATTCACGTTTAAATACTCTAAATTGCTCAAGACGTTGCACGATTACGTTTCAAACATGAAATAAAAACTATAACCAAAACACTCACTGCGCAACTCAACAAGTTTCGACAAGAAATTTTTGTTGCGTCGCTTCGGCCGTAACAAATAGGCCGAAGCGGCCGAATACCGAGGCCGAATCGATGCTTCGGCTCATCCCTACTTTTTAGGTGCTAATTAGGGCCTCTAATTAAGAATTAGGTGCTCCTTTAGTTTTTGGGAAAATCAAAAAAAAAACTAAGGGATTGCTAGGTTTATAAAAGCTAGCAGTCCCCTATAGTAAAAAATATTTTTTGAAATTTTTTCTTTGTATGAGAATTAGGTGCTTTTTAGGTGCTCCTAAATAGTCCAAGAAAAAATAGAATTGATTAATTATTAACTGAGTTACAGATTTTTTTTTAATTATTAGGGGACTGTTGGCTTTACATTTACATGATGGTGTGTCAGAATGGAAAAAAAAACTTCGAAATCTATATAATAATTAGGTGCTTTTTAGGTGTTAATTAGGGCCTCTAATTGAAAATTAGGTGCTCCTCTAGTTTTTGAGAAAATCAAAAAAAAACTAAGGGATTGCTAGGTTTATGAAAGGTAGTAGTCCCCTATAGTAAAAAATATTTTTCTAAAATTTTCTTTTGTATCAGAATTAGGTGCTTTTTAGGTGCTTTAATTATTAGGAAACTGCTGGCTTTACGTTTACTTGGTCGTGTGTCAGAATGGCAAAACAACTTCGGGATCTGTATAATAATTAGGTGCTTTTTAGGTGCTAATTAGGCACCTAATTATTATATAGATCCCGCAGTTTTTTTGCCATTCTGACACACCAACAAGTAGACGTGAAGCCAGCAGTTTCCTAATAATTAAAAAAAAAATCTGTAACTCAGTTAATAGATAATCACTTCTATTTGTTCTTCGACTATTTAGGAGCACCTAAAAAGCACCTAATTCTGATACAAAAGAAATTTTTGGTAATAGTTATTTATGATATAAGTGTTAAAAGTACATTTTTAAGGCACGCATGTGAAAGTTTGCAGAATGAGCGAAACGAATTCTGCAATTCACATAAGTGGCTTAAAAATACTTTTAACACAAATATCATACAATATTTTTTCTACAAACAGCAATAAAAAGCAATAACCAGTAACAAATTGGATTTTAAGAATGGATAATTTATTGGAAGCATCTTTCCTACATAAAATTATTGAATTTGACATTTGTCAAAAAAGCCAAACAACCAGCACCTTGTTTAACAGGTTATGAAATGTCTTGTCAGTTTCTTGAAAGTCTGTCGTGGTCAGTAGTGTTTGTTGCAGGCCCTGCGATCTCTCATTGCCAGTTATAAACCACATAATAACTCTTTTCCGT